TTTAAGAACTTAGGAGTTTTTGTTTTCTAATCAGCTTTGGTTTATTTGGTACCATTAATATAGTAGACATTTTAACAAGTCACCTTAAAAGACTTTTCTGGTCTAGTTCCACCAAGTTTTTGTTCAAAGTGAAGTCCCACTGAAAAGTTGGAGAACTATTGCCATATTAATGTGCTTCTTAGGAGCCGTATTACCTTTTAACTTAGTAGACATTAGTGTTATTGAATACCCAAAATAACTTGTAATATTGCTTAGAAAATAGTATCCCAGAAGGTGGTTCTCCAATAATTCTTGGAGACATTGTTGTTCATGAAACTTTTGTAGGTGACTTTTCCCCATTCTAGCATTAATTCATTAAACTGCCATTTTTTGAGCACCTCTACAGGCAAGGCACTGTTATAGGTGCAGCAGATAACAAAGAAAAATGAAATGGTCCCTGCCTTCAAGGAGTTTAATTCTACTGGGGATAAACAAAAAATAGATAAACATATCAATACAAAATATATACAAGACATATGTGGGGTGGAACATGAAAATCTGGGTTATCAGGAAAGGCCTTTTGTAGAGAGTGGCTCTTGAGCACGTCTTTGAAGAAAGCTAAAGATTCCAGGAGGCAGAGGTGAGGAGGGGGTACATTCTAGAAAGGAGAGTAGTGTGTGAAAATGCTTGGAAGTTGCATATTGAATGTTATATGCAGGTAAGTGGGCCAGTTTGGCTAAAATATAGACTGTATAAGGGTGAATGATGTGAAATCAGTCAGGAAATAGATCCTGGAACTATGTTGTCGTGGGTTTTAAATGCCAAAGGAAAGAATATGCATATTGCATCCTAGAGGTGGTAAGGAGCTTCTAAAGCTTCCCTCTGTTGTATCTCTAATTTATCCTGTATATATTGTTTGTCTCTTCCATTTGACTGTGAGCTCCTTGAGAGCATGGCCTGTCTTTTGCCTTTCTTTGTATCCTCAGTGCTTAGAATGGTTCCTGGTACCTAGCAGATGAGTAGCCAGAGCTTCACCTTAGGAATCAGTTTGGTGGCTGCATAGATGATGGATTGGAGCAAGGATAGATTGGAGATTGAAGGATCTATAGCTGAATCCTAAAAACAAAAAAAAAGTCCAGGCAAGAGGTAACAAAAGTCTGAACTGGATATATGGGTTGAAAGGAAGTGAATGTGAGAGCTATTATGGAGACAGAATCACATGATTTGACAGTGGATTGGATATGAGGGCTAGGGATTAGGGGAAAGATAGAGGTTGTGGATCTGAGTTGTCTGGCAAGTACTGCCTCCATATGGGTAGCTAGCCTCATTCTTACTTAAAACAACAATTACAAAGGCTTAATCTAGAACAGATTTAGAAATAATCTCTCCTTCCTCTGAAATAGCATAGCCCTGGATGTCTGTTTATCTTTTTGGAATGCAAGTTCTAGGATCCATGTCTTACTTGAGTTAGCTTTCATGATGCTTCATGTATATATAATCCCTTGAAAGAACTGTCAGAGAGTTATTTTCTTCTAAAACTATAGGGCGTAGCATCTCAGTAAGGCTGTTGTATACCACAGGTGTTTCCTAGACTTGGGGGGAGGTGTCAGGGGTGTGGAACATGCAGAAGAGTGAACTTAGTTGTCATGTGAACCACAGAAAGGGTAGCTCAGAATTTAAAATGTCAGAGAAGGAAAGTTATATTTTGAGCTCCTGATGTCTTAGAGTAGAAAGAGAATCTAGTGGTCTGATTCAAACTTGTACCTTAAGCAAGAGTCTTTTTTTTTAATCTTCCAGTTTTTTTTAATTTTTAGCATTCACTTTTCCTTCCCCTCTCCCCAAGATAGCATGCAATCTGATGTAGGTTATGATGTACAGTCATTTTAAATGTTTATATGATGTACAAGTCATTTTGTGAAAGAAGAATCAGAACAAAGGGAGAAAGAATCAGAACACAAGAAAGAAAAAAACAAGCAAACAAAAAAGAGAAAATAGTATGCTTCAATCGTATTTAGACTCCATTGTTCTTTCTCTGGCTGTGGATAGCATTTTCCATCATGGGACCTTTGAGGTGTCTTAGATCCTTGCATTGCTGTGAAGAGCCAAGTCTATCAAAGTCAGTCAGTGCACAGTGTGGCTGTTACTGTGTACAGTGTTCTCCTGGTTCTGCTCACTTCACTCAGCATCAGTTCACGGAAGTCTTTCCAATAAACAGGAATCTTCTTCGAAGTGTCCCTGACAGTGGTCACCTGGCCTTTCATTGTATAAGGTGGTGCCTTCCCTTTGAGTCCTTCTAGCAGTAGAGAATTCACTGCTACATGAGGGGCTACCGTACTATTTTTAGACAGTTCTTTACATCAAGTCAGAATTTGTTTTCCTTTATGTAATTTTTACCCAGTGATCTTTTTTTGTCCTTTGTGGAGCCCTGCAGTATAAGTGCTCTCTAGTCTCTCTTCCCCATGGCAGGCAGCCCTTTGGATATTTGAAGACAGTTTGTTGAGTCTGTTTTCCAGGCTACAGGAAGAAATTGAGTTTGCTGAACTCATCCTGTTTGCTTCCAAACCCCAGTGGCTCCCTGTCACTTCTAAGATCAAATATAAATCCCTTTGTCTTCTAGAGCAGGTCTTATTAAACTTTTTCTACTTGTGAACCCTTCAGTGCTTCTTAAACTATGGGTCATGACTCCATTTGGGGAGAAACACTGATCTAGAGCTCCTCATAACCTGGCCCCTTCGAAGACACCTTTACATTTTTATACATTATTCCCTTTCACATGATCTATAGTGCAACTAGATGGCACAGTGGATAGAGTGCCAGGTCCAGAATCAGAAAGACCTGAGTTCAAATTCAGCCTCAGACACACTTATTAGCTGTGTGACACTGGGCAAGTCACTTAACCCTGTTTGTCTCAGTTTCGTCATCTGTAAATGAGCTGGAGAAGGAAATAGCAAACCACTCCAGTATCTTTGCCAAGAAAACCTCAAATGGGGTAAGAGAGAGTCAGACACAACTGAAAAATGACTGAACAACATAGTCCAGCCATTGTGGGCTACTTGCTGTTCCTCTTAGAGACCTCATCCCCCACCTCTGTACCCCTGTCTGAAGTGCTCTCTTTGCTAACCTCTGCCTCGTAGAGTCCTTGGCCTCTTTCAGGACTGAGCTCACATGTTTGTATACATATACATGTAAATACACATGTACATAACTACATACCAACACCTTTTGAAATACATTTTTGTTGATGTTTTTCATTTTTATACATTACCAAAATTTCCCCCTAATATATGAGATTGTCCCAGAGAGCTATCTCATAAAACAAATAACATTTTAAAGATAATAAAAGAAATTAAATCGGTAAAACTGATCAATATATTAAAAAAGTCTGCAAATGTGTTACTGTAATTCACTTATATATTATTTTATATACTTTTAAAATAATATTTTGTTTTTCCCCCAATTACATATAAAAACAATTTTTAATGTGCATTTTTTTTTGTTTTGAGTTCCAAATTCTGTCCCTGCCTTCCTCTCCCTCCAATCCCCAAGACGGTAAGCAGTCTGATATAGGTTACACATGTACAATTATGTAAAATATTTCCATATTAGTCATCTTGTGCATCACTTCTGTATTATTTTATAGTGAATTTGCACAAATTATATCCTTTTGATTGTGAGCATGGTGAGGACAGGGACCTTTGTTTCCCCTACCATCCAGCACAATCCTCTGCCTTTAATGTCTGTAGAATGAAGAAACTGGTAGATTGAATGTACTTCCCTGAAGTTGCTTCAAGCAGATTGTTAGCTTTTCTTTAGTTACCTTCAAAAAAATGGTCAGATGTGCTTTAAGAATACTTAGTGTAGAACATTTGTGGTTAATCCTCACTGTCATTTTTAACACTGAGGTTACTTTCTATAACTGGTGCTGCCACCATAACCTAGAATTGAAACTTTAACTTCCTTCTGATATGTATATTTTTTATAATCTTGTGACTGTCACATGAGGAATATGAGTGGCTCTTGAGAAACTTTTAAGTAAGAGATTTGTTGATTAAGTGATACCCTTGAGGCTGCTGACATTAAAATAATCTTTGTTTATTCTGATCTTAAGTCCCTAGACCTAGGCACTCTGCATTCTTCCTACTCTTGGTTTATTCCAGCTAATCCAAATATATCTAAAATATCCCTTAGTTCCTGGTGTGAAGAGGGATTGAAGGGTGGGGTAGCATTATATCCTGAGCCTGTGGGTAAGAGATTAATCTCTTGTCCCCATCTTCCCATACCTGGCTGGTTTGCTCCTGTTAGCAGATCTTCCTTTTTCACACCTGAAACTACCTATTCCCCCTATGGGTACTTAAGAGAGCACTAAATAGAAAAGTCAGTAAAGATCACTTCCTTAAAATAGCTTTCCAGGGGCAGGTAGGTGGTGCAGTAGATAGAGCACTGGCCCCGAAGTCAGGAGGGACCTGAGTTCAAATGCGGCCTCAGACCAGACACTTGACACTTCCTAGCTGTGTGACCCTAGGCAAGTCACTTAACCCCAATTGCCTTAAAAAAAAAGCTTTCCATTTGTGTGCACCACTACTAGTTATGGGAGACCAGAATTCTGATTGTGAGTACTTCAACAAATGTTTGCCTAAGGGGATTAAAAAACCCCCGAGGACCTCCTTTTTAAAGGTATCTGTCCCTCTAATCCTTGGTTTGAGGAAGGGAGATGTCATGCTTAGAGCACAGGCAACCTTTAGATCAGAAGTTCTTAAGCTTTTTATGTCATGGACCCCTTCTCAGAATGATGTTTATAAAATGCATAAAATTAAATATGTAGGATTACAAAGGAAACCATTTATATTGAAATATAGTGATTGAAACATTTTTTAAAACAAGTTCACAGAACCTGGTTAAGAATCTCTGCTTTAGATCATAGTACCTATAGAGAGACTTCAGGTTCTTATCGTTGAAATGTTTTTTGGCATTAAGATTGTTTGTATTTGTTTTGGTTACAGAATTTTGTATTCTTTGTTTAGGTATTTTCACAATCGTGTGTTTGGTATGGAGAATGTGGCGTGGTATCCGAAGGTAAGAGATACAACTGTGAATATTCAGGGCCACCCAAACCACTGCCAAAGGATGGATATGACTTAGTGCAGGTGAGTTTATTATGTTTATATTGTGAAATAGGAAGCTGAGTAATGCAGTGGATAGAGCCCAGGACCTGGAGTCATTCAAATCCAGGCTCAGATACTTACAAGCTCTGTGACCAAGGACAAGTCACTAAACATCTGTCTTTCAGTTTCCTTTTCTGTAAAATGGGGCTAATAACACCTACCTTCCAGGTTTGTTGTGAAGATAAAAAGAGATAATATTTATAAAACACTTTGCAGACTTTAAAGTGGTTTGTCAATGATAGTTGTCATCCTCCTCATCATTATTATTGTTACGGATATTCAGAGCATGGGTAACACTATACTATATCATGTGTGGCTACCAACAAATATTTTAATGGAAGATGGGAATAAGTTTCATTAGATAGGAATTTGAGGCCAAAAGAGATTAAGTGCCCAAGTTCACACAGAGTATCAGAGCCAGTATTTGAACCTAGATCTGCTGACTCCAGGTCCAAGGGCCTCTGCTTTATAACAGATTCCCTCCCTGAAACTCTTCTAACACATTTTGGTTCATTTTTTAAGTTATTAGGAAGCTTTAAAAAGTGTTTTATTGCTGTGTGTTTTTACCCTTAGGAGAATCATTTGTGAAATAGCTCTTTTTTTTTTTAGAATCATCATTTGGTACCTCTGTTTTAACTGTACTGAAACTACGTGCCTTTGTTTGCTTTCTGTCCTCTAAAAGGAACTCTGTCCAGGCTTCTTCTTTGATAATGTCAGTCTTTGTTGTGACGTACCCCAACTTCAGACACTGAAAAATAATTTGCAACTGCCTCTGCAGTTTCTGTCCAGGTAAGTGGATGATCCTGGCAAGTAGGGAAGACAAATACCTCACAATAAGGTTTTTATGAACCATTGAACTATCATTTGGATCTACTTGAGAAGGGTGACAAGTCACAGAGGACATTTAGGAAAGCAATTTTTGTCATGACTGATTGGAAAGGAAGATTAGCTAGTAATTGTTAGATTTTTGAAGGGCGTTTTGATAGTTTAAATTTTGAGTTCTCCAATTTAGGTTTTTGGTTTTTGGTTTTACTTTCTCTACATTTTTTCCTTTGGTTATTTCATCAGCCCATGCATTCAGTTATCACCTTTATATAGATGACTCTTAAATCTTTCTAGCCTTAATCCCAACCCTGAGCTCCAGTTTTGTATTGCTAACTGCCTGTTAGACATCCCCACCTGAATGCCCCATAGATTTCTTGAACTCATTATGTCTAAAAACTTCCCTCCAAACTTTCCCATTTCTATTAAGGGCATCCACATTCTCCTTCCACTTACTCATTTGCTTCATTCATTCTATTCGCTCTTCCTCTTCCCCCTTATCTGATTACTCAGCGGTTGTGTCCCTTCCTTTTTTTCCACTCGGATAACAACCAGACTCTCATTATATTGCACGTGGACTGTTGAAAGAGCCTCTTAATTGGTCTCCTTTCTCTTAGTCATTCGCCTTTCCAATCCATCATCCACATGGCTGACAATTTTAATATTCCATAAACCCATGACTCACAGTATCACTCCCCTGCTCAAGAGTTTTCGGTGGCTTCCTGTTGCCTTTAAGACAAAACATAACCTGTTCCCCTTGGCATTTAAAACCCTGTATTATGAGCTGGCTCCAGTCTGCCTTTCAAGGTATATTTTATATTACTTTCCCAGTGTGCCCTGTGTTTCAGTCACATTGGCTTACTGCAGTTCCTCAGGTCTCTTTCCTCCCTGTGTCCTTTCAAAGCTTAGCTCAGTTGCCGCCTCCTCTACAAGTCTTTTTTCTGAACTCCACTAGTTTTTAGAACCCTGTCATCGAAATGACTATGTATCCGCTTTGAATATATTTTGTATTTTACTTTTTGTCTATATTTTGAGTTTCTTTATAATAGCTAGCATTTACATAGTGCATTAAGGTTTGTGAAGCATCTTACAAATATCTTATTTGATCCTTCCAACAGTGCTGGGGAGGCAGGTGCTATTATTATCCTCATTTTTTTTTGTTCTTTTGCCCATGAGGAAACTGAGGCAGGAAGTGATTTCAGTGACTTGTTCAGGTCACACATCTAATAAATGTCTGGACTTAGGTCTTCCTGACTCCAAGCCCAGCATTCTTTCTACTCTGCCATCTAGCTGTCCATAGGACAGCTTCTTGAAGGCAGGGCACAGTGCTGAATACAGAATAGGCATTCTACAGATGCTTGCTTGAATACTATTGGCTACACTTTGCCCTTGACAGTTTAGGGGTTGTTGGATTTCAGACTAGTGGGTGTACCTGCTCGAGGGGTAGAGAGATGGCTTCCAGGTGGTCCTTGAACCTTTAGCAGCTACATGAGATATTTTCTCCTTGTAGCCATGACTCATTTCCTTTTGTGCTCAGCTACTTTCCTCTCCTTTCACTCTGTTTTAGGTTTGGATCTCTATTCTGTATTCCTAATCCTTAAGTAAAGTTGAACTTTGACAATTGTAATCAATTTTGTCTTGGAAGTTTTGCTGAGATCTCAAAGATTGAGATACTTGATGTGGTTGTTTGAAAGCCAAAAGTTCCTGATTGATTTGTTCCTTTGACCTAGCGTATAAAGCAGGGTTTCAGGGTTCAGTCTTTTTTAACCAATAAAGTTCTAATAAAGTATGCATCAATGTATATAGAAGCTAATGTTATTCTTCCAGTGCAGCAAGCTACCAACAACATGAAGGTCTTCGAATCCCTGTCGTAGAGTGGCTTCTGTATATTGGTATAATTGTATTGGAGGCAATTAATAATTTCTTCCCAAGATCCTAGGTCATTTGTAGTTAGTTCTTTGAAGGTGAAAAACCAGATTAATTGTTCTGCTGCATCAGGGAAGACTGAGATCTCCTCAGAGTTATTAATTAGCATTCTAAAATCCGGTTGTAGAATCATCTTAACCCTTAAAGAGACCTATGAGGTCATGTAGTCTAGCCACTGGGACACAGAAGAAGTGACTGATCCATAGTCAACATGTACCAGTTACTAGAGCCAATAATCGAATCCAGGTCCTTTGGATCAAAATCCAGTGCTCATTTCACTAGCTTTTTCACCATTACAGATCTCTATGAACAGATCAATCAGAAAGATTGGCAAACTGACACCCATGAGTTTGCTGAGTGCCTAAGTTGACTAAAGTGATATACAAAGTATTGTGAGAGATAACAAAGGGGTCACTGCCTACAAGGAAAGAAAAACAGTAAAGAGGGTGAACTCACTTCTTTCAAAATTAATTTATTTTGAATATCAACAATCACTTCTTCCATAAGCTTTTGAATTTTAAGTTTTTCTCCCTTTCTCTCTCCACCTCCCCGAGATGACAAGCAATCTGATATAGCTACACATATACATTCCTGTTAAAATATTTTCACATTAGTCATGTTGTAAGTAAGAATTAGAACCAATAGGAGGAACCACCAGAAAGAGGAAACAAAACACAACAGTAGAAAAAAAATAGCAGATTGTATGCTTTGATCTGCATTCAAACTCCATAGTTCTTGCTTTGGATGTGGATAGCATCTTCTATCATTGGAGATGTCTTAGATCCTTGTGTTGCTGAGAGGGTTAAGTCTATTAATATTAAGTCATCTCACAACGTGTCTATTAACTGTGTACAACGTTCTGCTCAATTCACTCAGCATCAGTCCATACAAGTCTTTCCAAGTTTTTCTGAAGTCAGCCTGTTCATCATTTCTTATAGCACAATAGTATTCCATTATATTCATATGCCACAACTTGTGAACTCACGTTTAAAAAATATTTTACTGACTCCTTTTGCTTTATTTAGTACTGCTGCAATTATTTCCTTTTGTTCCTCTGCTCACCCTGTGCCTTTCCCTCTCCCCAACCTACCCCAGAATCTTTCCTTTATAGCAAAGAAAAATAATTATGCAAATTCCGCTAATGCAGTGGCAAAGGTCTGAATTCTTATATGTCCTTCCACCACCTTAGGCCACCATTTTTTTTCTCCTTGGGTGTTAACTTCCTATTCCTGATGTCTGTACTATTGCATACTTTACCTGTTGTGTCCAAATATAGTTTTCTATAGTGTAAAATAGGTGCACTTCTTCTGTGTTTCTGAAATAAATCTTATTTTGCTAGACCCTACTATCCCCTCAAGCTATCGTCATCAGCGTCAACGTAGCTAGTGTTTATGTAGTTCTTTAAGATTTACAAAGGTTTTCTGTACATGTTATTTCGTTTGATCCTTCCAGTAGCACTTTGGGAGGTAGGCACTATGATTATCCCCTTTTATAGGTGAAGAAACAAGCAGAGAGAAGCTGATTGTCACACAGCTAAGAAAGGATCTGATCTGGGTCTTCATGTTTCCTTATATCTCTTCTCCCTTCCTTAGTGGCATACATCCACTTCTCTCACTTTTCAGCTCTTTGTCGTCTCACGTTTGACCTCACTCAATCCAAATGGGCTCATCTTTTCTCAGTTCTGATTCTTGGCCTCTGCTGCATTTGACATTGTTGACTACCCTCTCTTCCTGGCTTCTCTCCCCTGGGGTTTTATGATGCTGCTTTCTCCTGGTTCCTTTCCTACCTGCTTGACCACTCTTTATCAGTGTCTTTTGCTGCTTTTTCATCCACATCGTACCCCCTTACTATGGGAGTTTTTCCTCAGTGTTGCAGGCTGGGCCCTAATCTCATTGGCTGTAGTGGGTTTAACTATCGTATCTATGCAGATGACTTTCAAACGTATGTATCCAGCCTCAATCTCCTGCCATCCTACTGCCCATCTTTGGTCCCCAGTCATTGAATACGTATTGGGCATTTCAGATTGGATATCACAGAGATATCTTCAGCTTTCAGCATATCTAAAACCGAATTTAGCATCTTTCCCCCAGAACGTCTCCTTTTTTAAACTTCTCTATTGTCAAAGATATCACCAGCCTTGCAGTTGCTCAGGTTCATAAACTTTGCCTCAAAAAACCAAAAACAAAAAGCCAACAATAATCTTTGCCTCATTCTGGACTCCTTACTCTTTTACCCCCCATTTCCAAACAGATGGGAAATCTTGGCCTTTATGCCTTCACAGCTTTGCACAGAATCCCTTTACTCACACAACTTCTTTATCGCCTCTCACCTTGCTAACTGAAACAGTCTCCCACACATATGGGAGTCCTTCCCACATATTGCTGCAAAAGTAATTTAAGTGCTATATGATTCCCCTATTCAGCCATTTCCTTCGGCTTCCTATTGCTTCTATGATCAAAAATAAATTCCTCAGTTTAGCTTTTAAAGCCCTACACATCCTGGCCATAGCCTACTTTTCCGAGCTCTTTGGACATTAGTATGTTTTGAGATCCATCCAGCAAAACTATCCTCCTCTCCCTGGCTATCCCCCATTCCTGGAATGTATTCCTTCCTTCCTTCTGCTTCTTTTCCTTTAATATGCCTTTTGCATGAAGCCTTTCCTGATCTTCTCCCTTAACCTCCATCTGCTAATAGCTTTCCTACCTTGTGTTTAACCGCTTTTTAATATATTTGTATTTATTAACTCTACATATTTGTGTGTGTATACTGTGTAGATTTTATACACATATATTTATATGTATACCATATCTATTTTACATATATTTGTTTTCTCCCATTAAAATATGAGCTTATTGTAAGGATTGTTTTACTCTTTGTCCTTCTATCACCAGTGCCTAATATAATACCTGGCACAAAGTAGGTACTCAGTAAATAATGGCTAATTGATTTGCTTAGAATCTTCTTAGTTGCCTTGAGAATGGCAAGGAAGGACTATTAATTTATGGTACTTTAATTTAGTTCTGTCCTCACCTCTGTTGAGCAGTCTTATTCTTACTGGCTCCCTGTATCACTTCCCAATAATAGCCACTATTTAAAATTTCTTTTCTGCCAAGGCCTTCCACCAAATCCTTATGCTTCTCCCTTAAAGGGATGACTGAACTTTCCTGAGAAGATTGAGGCCATTCTAAGTGGCTCCCTCTGTTCTTATCCTTTCTGTCCTCACTTATCTCATTAATCCCCTGACCTGAGAAGAGGAAGAATTCCTACTCTAAGATAGGGCTAATACAGTCTTTTTTTTTGGGGGGGCAGGTTGGGCAGTGGGGTTAAGTGACTTGCCCAGGATCACACAGCTAGTAAGTGTTATGTGTCTGAGGCTGGATTTGAACTCAGGTCCTCCTGAATTCAGGGCCAGTGCTCTATCCATTGCGCCACCTAGCTGCCCCCTAATACAACCATTTTTACAAACATTTATTAAATGCATTGTGCTGAGCTCTGGGGACACAAAGAACCTCAAAAAGACAGTCCCTCAATTGTATATTGAAATGGGGGGGGGGACGCATGTCTAGCTAGATACAGGATATACAGAGTAAGTGCAAGGTAATCTGAAAGAAAGCCTAACTAGCTTGAGGGACCTAGAAAGGTCTGCAGAAAAATAGAATTCTGACCCAAGTCTTGAAGGAAGGGAAAACCAAGAGGTGGAGTTGAGGGGGGCAGGGCATTCCTGGCATGGGGCACAGCCAGGGCAGACACAGAATCTCCTTTTGACAAGGAGAAGGAGAACAGTTTCACATTTGAGGATCTGCATGTAGGCCAGCGAGTGGCAGACTCTCCCGCTGTCTCTCCTAGAGCTTTGTTTCAGCAGTTGTTTCTTCTGCATAGCCAGTCTTCAGTCTCCCTGTCTTTCCCGTCTGCCAACAAACAGGGTCTTCCTAGTCAAAAAAAGCCCTTCACCTGGTGCTTCTGCCCCATTTTCCTGTTCTCCCATTTCTGTCTCCCAGTCACTGTCAGACTTTGAATGAGTTGAAAATGCTGTGACTGATGTGGAGGCTACTTTTTCACCATTCACTCTTTCTTAATCCCTTTTAATCTTATTTCTGTCTGTACCATTCTGTTGAAGCTACTCTCTGCAAGGTCACTGGCAATCTCTTCGTTGCTAAATGCAGTGGCCTTGGTTCAGATCACTTCTTTTTGGCATCTTTGCAGCATTGGATGCTGACTCCCCCCTTTCTGGCCCCGCCCCCATTCCTGAGTATGCCCTTTCTCCCTTTGCTTCATTCAGAGATCACACCGGCCTGGCTTTCCCTTGTACATTCCTTTTCCCTTTATTCCCTTTGACCCCTTGCCTTCTTCCTACCTAGCTGTTGCTCAACATGTGCTTTTAAGCAGACGGGCGGCTTCAGCTCTCACCTCTTTATTGAACAAAATCCTTGAGGGCAGGGCTGTTTTGGTCTTTGAATCTCCACTATGGCACATACTGGCACTTAATGTTTATTTGAATTGAATGACTGTTGCTAAGCAGTCTTCCTATTGCTTCCTTATCAACTCACTATCCCATTTTCCACAGCAGCTCTTCCAGACCTCATCCCTCCTTAAACCTCCTGCAGCTCCCTCTCCCCCCAACTCTCTCAGCTGAGAACTCTGCTTCATATTTTACAAAAAATATTGAGGCCATTCGTGTGAACTCCCTCTTCTTCCTACTTCCTCATCTCATGTCACTCAGATGCCTTCTGCCACCATTTCCCCCTTCACCCATCTCACATGATGAAGTTGCCTTACTCCTTACCAAGGCTTTACCCCTCTACCTGTTCAAACAATCCCATTCCATCCCCTCCCCTTCAACAGATTGCCCCCTCTGTCATCCCCATTCTATCACGTATTTTCAATCTCTCTCTTACTACTGACTCATTCCCTACTGCCTGCAAACATGCCCATGTTTCTCCCATCCTCCAAAAACCCCTCACCTACTTGATCCTTCTATCTCTGATACATTTCCCTGCTGTCCCTGTACCTGCTTGTGCCTGTACCTTTCTCTGTATTGCCACCGCTGCCACTCTACTATGAGCCTGCATTGTCACCCTCCTAGTGAAATGGAGTCTCCATTCTCTTTTACCTGCTGCAGCCTCTTCTACCCTTTCCTACCATTTTTGGCCCAGTCTTCTTTGTACGTTGATCCAGACCCATCAGTCCTCTGTTAAAGGCTGTCAGTAATTGTTCCCTCTTGCCTGTTTTGTGTGATATCTGAGGCCTATGTAATCTGGCCCTCCCCTTCATACTTATCCAGCCACATCCTCTGTTCCTCTCTCCACATATAAGGCATGCCAGCCCATCTGGACATTTCTTTTTGAACCCTGCCACAAACACTTCTTGTGGTCAGCTGCACCAGCCTACTTGCTGTCCATCACAGAGGACTCTTTGTTTCCTGACTGTGCATTTGCCCTGCTTGTCCCCCATGGTGGAATTCTTTCCCTTCTCACCTCTTTTAGAATCCATGGCTTCTTTCAAGACTCAGCTCAAATCTCACTTTTTGAAGCAGACCCTTTCTTGTTGTCCTTGCTGCTGTCTTCCCCTTTAGATTTCTTCCTCTGTGTGTGTGTTTGTGTTTGTATGCACATACGTACATGAATATGTGTGCTTATGTATGTACACATAAACACATAACAACTATGTACCTAGGTGTGTACATGTACATCTCCCTCATGATGTATTCACATTGTTTCCCTCCCCTAGGCATGGACTGTTTTTTGCATATCTTTGTGTTTCCAGTACAGTGCGTCATTAATAAGCATGAGTAAATGATTGTTGACTGATTGCTTCCTCTGGTTAGGATGCCCTCCCTTTTCTACTTGTTGAGTCCCACTCATCTTTTTAAAACTCAGTTCAGATATCTGCTTCTACATGAAGCCTTTCTTCATCTCCCCAGTCATTACTGGACTTCCTACTTCCTTCCCCCCCTTCACCTCCTATATATCATTTTCTGTGCATAAGAATTTCATTCTGTATAGATTTTTTAACCTACCTAAGTGCCTTGTACACTATACAGTGTTCTGTACCCTAAAAGCACTTGATAAATGTTTAAATATTTTTTAAAGGGTCTTGGATTAGAAACCCCAGCAGTACTTTAGAGACAGTTTATAAGACAGCAGGCCCTCTGACCAGCGAGCAGGCCAAAGAGAGTGGTAAAAGCCCAGGGGTGGGGGAACCCATGGCGGGTGTTAAGCAGAAATAGTTCTTTAAGTCCTGGAGAATAATGCATTTAGATTATGGGGTAAACTCCAGAATCCTGCAAAGCAAACCTTGAGTGAAGGTAATCACTGCTCACTCCACGCATTGGAGCAGTCAGGCATCTGCCGTTGCAGCAGCAGAAGACCAAAGGACCATCATATGCACAGTGTAGATAAACTTGTTTGCTGTCTGTGGGTTTTTTATGTCCACCCAGGCAACTCCATGGCTTTATTCTTCAACAGGAAAGACAGCAGTCTCCTAAAAACCTAGTTGCTAATAAACTGAGAGAAGTAAAGCAAGGCTGGTTTTACTATTTAAGGGTGTGGTGGTGGAGACCCTCATTCGTAAACTGGGCCTCAAAAAATTAGTTAAAAACTCTTTGTTCGTGTGCATGGAAATCTTTAGTAAAAAGTGAAGCATTTATATGATCTGAAGAGAAATCAGAATATCTTTTTGTTTTTGTTTTTGTTTAAACAACCTGGAAGCCCTACCACACTTTTGAGAGGGAGCCTTAGGTGAAGTGGGACATGGGGAAACAAAAATTATTAGTGCCATTAGATGGTTATAGGACAAAAATTTAAGAACCTACTAGATTAAACCTCTTTTTCCTCTTTATGTTCTTTGTTTGACATTTGTCGGTAAGATGATTCTGAGTCCCTCTGGTTTTGAGAAAGACCGCATCTCTAGATGAATTGATATGTACAGAGAAGTATTTTCTTTCCGTGAAACTTTCTGTTCAAAAAACCAGTAGGGATTTGGAATCAAGTACATTCTCATCACAACTCTATTTGTATACCATATCATTTGGTTAACATGACCTCCTCTTGGCTTTTTCTTCAGGTGTCCATCCTGTTTTTACAACCTGATGAACTTGTTTTGTGAGCTAACCTGCAGCCCTCGACAAAGCTTGTTTCTGAATGTTACAGATACCACAGACTATAATGATACCACCACAAATGAGACCAAAAGAAATGTAGAAGGACTACAGTACTACATTGGACAGAGCTTTGCTGATGGTCAGTTAACATAGAGAGTGTATGTGTGTAGTATAAGAGCGCCTGATGAGTTGGAAGACCTCTGCTTAAGTACCATATGAACTGTGTATTACTTTTATCCTTTGAGTTAAACGATTATTACAGGATAAACGCTACCACCACCACATTAATAATAACTGCTAGCATTTCTTTGGTGCTTCAGAGTTTGCCTGTGTTATCTCATTTGATCCTTAGAACAACCCAGTGAGGTAGGTACTATTATTATCCCCATTTTATAGAGAGAGAAAAAGTCACAGAGAGGTTCAGCATCTTACCCCAGGGTCACACAGTAAGTATCTGAATCAGAATTCAAACTGAAGTCTCCTTCAGATCTAGCACTGTATGCAAAATACCACCTAGCTGCCTCTGTTAGAAAAGAACAGATTGGAAATAAGCCAAGTTCTTATTATTTTGTGGAGTAGAAATAACAATTGGCATTTATATGGCACTGTCAGGTTTGCGGTGCTTGGAAAACCATCTTTTGAAATTGAGATGGGGTCATTTCTCTGCACATTCTGAGCCTGAAGCGCCTCTGGAGATGAGACAGACTCTGCCAGTCTGGTTATTTCTCTTCCGCCCCTGGTACTTAGTGAGCTCTGCTTTTCTTTGACTCTCTTCTTGTTGTTTGGAGGCACAAAATGAGTCAGGGGAAGAGTTTACACTTACTGCTCAGAGAAGAGAAAGCCCAAACATCCCCACTTGTTTTCTCCCTTTCTTTTGATGTACTTTGGCTCTGCCTGAGATAAGTTGTGCAGTGTGAGTGCAGGTCCCCTGTGCTGTGTGCTTCAGTGTTTGTCTTCCGTCCTGTTTGCAGGGGCTCTAGAATTCCCGGAGCTGGCTGCCTTTGAACACCTCTTTGGGGTGGAGAGGGGCATCTTTATAAGAAGAGGCAGGGGAACTAAAGCAAGTATATTCCATTTCACCTTTTTTCCTCATTGTTGGTCTTTAGCCATGTATAATGCCTGCCGGGATGTTGAGGCCCCCTCAAGTAATGATAAAGCCCTGGGGCTTCTCTGTGGGAAAGATGCTAAAGACTGCAATGCTACCAATTGGATTGAGTACATGTTCAATAAAGATAATGGACAAGCACCTTTCACTATCACACCTATTTTTTCAGGTAGGGGAAAGTTGTTCTTTGTCAATTATGTTCAAAATCTATTGTTTTAATGCCAGAGAATAAACTAAATGGATTGGGGGTTGGGCAGGGTTGACATTATATAAATTTGGTTCCTCATACCTATATTCTGTAGTGTGAAACTTATCAAATTCTGTTAGTGGTGTACTGAAAAGCAGGCGGCTTTGGAGTCTGGTGCCCAGGGTTTGAATCTCGAGTATGCTGTGTGATGTTGAGCCAGACTTTTAGTAAGAGGGGGTTGAACTAGATGGCTTTGAAGGGCCCTATGGTGATGTGAACTCCAAAGTGATTTCTGAAACAAATGTCTTGCTTCTGATTTGGAAACAAAAGGCACATAATTAAAATAAAATTGATGACTACAACTAATAGTTTGCTGCTAATAAACAAAAGAGGGGCACCTTGCTAGTGGCTGTAGTCGGCCCCTATACTAACTCTTTAGAAGTAAAATAAGATAGCATTAGTTAGTTTTGGTTTTCACAGAACTAATGTCATGGGCGAGAGTATGAGAGGGCTGTATGGACAGATAGAGGAGTGCCAGATTAGGGTGGGCCTTGAATATCAAACAGAGGAGTCAAAACTTTTGAGGCAGTAGGGAACCACTGATGACTTGAGCAGAGGAGTGACATGAGAAAGTGTATGCTTTAAGAGGGTTTGTCTGGCAATAGATGAATTGAATTACAGAGAAAAGTAGAGCAGTAAGATCTACTAGGAAACTGTTGTTTCCACCTGTGTCCACCTGTCCAGGTGGGTAGTAGTGAGGCCTTATACTAGATTAGGTGAAAGTGAACCAGAGAAAGCCTCATTGGCATTTGGGAACTGATAAAGAATATGGGCAATGATAGAATCCTGGTCCCAAGCGCAATTGCACATCATGTACAGTAATACATAGTTTATGGAGGACAGGATGGTGCTTATAGCCATTTGTAATTATAGGACTAGTAGTACCCTTGATCCCTTGCCCTCCTCCTACAGGCTGTCTCCACTATTCCCCACCTTCAGGTTTGTAGTCTCTCATTATCTGATGGTTTCTTCTCTGTTGCCTAAAGACAAACCAGGGCTATCCCATCCTTTGAAAAACAAAAAACAAAAACCACCACTCGCCACACCCTGCCATGCCTGCCACCCTCAGGCTTTATCTCTCTCCCTCTTTTCAGCTAAATTTAAAAATATTGTCAGTTCTCAAGGCCTCTCCTTCATCTCTTCTCACTTGCTTTTGAACTTTCTTTAATCTGGTTTCTGAGTCCAGTCTAGTGTCACAAGCTGCCTATGGGACACTTCAGATTAATGTCACATAGGCATCTCACTCTATTATCTTCCCTGACAAACCCACTCCTCTTCTGAGACTCCCCAATTCCTGGTTTTTTTAATTGTTTTTAATACTATCTTCTTTTTCTTTTATCATTAGTTATCCCAAGTATTCCCTCCTCCCAGAGAACCATCCCATATAACAAATAGTATTTTTTAGGAGGAAAAAAAATCAGAACAACTAATCAATACATTGAAAAAGTCCAAAAACGTGCAGTGTGTAACACCTGTGGACTTTCCATCTGCATGAAAGGATGAGTTGGGGGTGTCCTCTCATATATCTTCATTTGAGTTCTGTTTGCTCTTTATAATTTTGTTACATTTACTTTTTTTATGTCATTCTTTGCATTTATGTTGTTGTAGTCACTGTGTATATTGGTTTTTTGTCTGCTTTTACTTAATTTTGCATCAGTTCATATAGATCTTTCTGTGTATGTTCATTTCACGCACATCATTTCTTAAAGCACAGTAATATTCCATTACATTGATGGGCATCTACTTTGTTTCCAACATATATATATATATATATATATATATATATATATATATATATATATATATACACACACACACACACACACACACACACACACACACACACACACACACACACACACACATATATATATACACATATATATATATATACACACACATACACACACACACATATACATATACACACACCTTTTGGATACCAAACCTTCATTAGAGAAATTTGATTAAAAAAAAAAAGACCTTCTTTTCTCCATTTGACCACTTCCCTTCTTATCTTAGATGTGCTAATTTTTCCATTACTGGGGTTTCCACCCTTATCCCCCAGTTGCTGGTACCTTCCCTCATAACATTACTTTCCATTTCCATCTTGTGTATGCATGTTGTTTTATCCTTTTGAATGTACATTCCTTGAGGGTAGGAACTGTTTTCACTTTTTGTCTTTACATCTTTAGTGCTAAGCATGTGCCTTCCCCATAGGAGGCCTTTTCTCTCTTTCTTCTTTGGCCTGTGTGTCAGAAATCATAATATTCAGTAAACCTCAAATAAGAGAAAACAAATTAAAGATTTGTCCATTTCTAATTTCAAATTAAAGAATAGGAGCTCCTTGCCTTTCTATAGTGCTATAGCTTTTTTTAATAAAAACTTTTTTCAGTTAGCAAGCATTTATTTTCTCTCCATTTCTCCCATTGAGAAAGAAAACAAAAACAAAAACCTTTATAACAGATATCCATTGTAGAACAAAACATTCTCCCATTAGCCATGTCCAAAAATCTGTAAATCATTTTGCTTGACTCCGTCACCTCTCTGTCTTAGAAGGTGGGTAGTATTCGTCATCATTTATTCAGTCATTTTTCAGTGTCCCACTCTTTGTGACCCCATTTGGGGCTTTCTTTGCAAAGATGCTGGAGTGGTTTGCTGTTTCCTTCTCCAGCTCATTTTACAGATGAGGAACTGAGACAAACAGGTGTAAGTGATTCGTCCAGGGTCACTCAGCTAGTAATGTCTGAGGCTGGGTTGAACTCAAGAAGATGAGTCTTCCTGATTATCACCAGGCCAGGCACTCTATCCACTGCACCATCTAGCTGCCTCTGTTCTTCATCATTGGGCTTCTAAAATTATAATCTGCCATTACACTGATCTGAGTTCTTAAGTCTTTCAAAGTTGTTTGTTGTAGCTATTGTATAAATTGTTCAACTGGTTTTGCTCATTTCATTCTGCATCAGTTAATGCGAACCTTCCCAAGTTTGTCTGAAACTGTCCCTTTTGTAATTTCTTAGGGCATCATAGTATCCCATTGCATTCATTTACCACATTGTGTTCAGCTGGTCCTTATTTGATGGATACTCCCTTAATTTCCTCTTCTTTGCCACCACAAACATTGCTGCTATAGATATTTTTGTAAATATAGAGACTCTGATTTCTTTGGTGTATGGTCCTAGTGGTGGTAGTATTGCTCAGTCAGGGGCACAGTTTCAAATAGCTTTCCAGAATGACTGCAGTAGACTCTTAATGAATGCTTGTTGATAGAGAAATAGAAAGCCATCTAGTAGACTAGAAAGTTAAGGAACTTACCTGGAATCCCATAGCTAGTATGTGTCTAAGATGGGAAATGAATCCATTGCTGGTCCTCAGTAGAAAGGAATCTCCTTGCTGGGAATTGCCTGTACTTGTGAAATCAGAAGTTGTGGGTGGGGTAGGGGGAGATAGGAAGAGATGGCGGGAGGTAAATCAAGTGGAAGAGGAAGAGGGAGACTTTTTTTTTGCTATATGACTGTTTCTTTGGTTTCTTTTTAAAATATGTATATACATATGTATGTGAGTATATATATAAAATGAATATTATGAATGGTTCTTTTCTGTGTTGTTGTCATTTAAAGTTTCTCAAATAAAATCAAGTTCTCATTCTGTTAAGATGTATTGTTAATTTGTTAATCTGTGAATTTGTTAAAATGTATTAACTGAACATTGTTTAATCTCTCAGATGTCCCTGTTCATGGAATGGAACCAATGAACAATGCCACCAAAGGCTGTAATGAGTCAGTGGATGACGTAACTGGGCCTTGTAGCTGTCAGGATTGTTCCATTACTTGTGGGCCCAAACCCCAGCCCCCACCGCCTCCTGCTCCTTGGCTGATACTTGGCTTGGATGCCATGTGTGTCATTATGTGGATCTTCTACATGGGATTCTTGCTTGTGTTTTTTGGAATGTTTTTTATAGTATGGTGTTACAGGTAAGGACTGACAAGGTTTTAGGGGAAAAAAGCAAACTTGTGGGTGACATTGTTAACTTTCTTTTGGCTGTCAAGTGCCGATTATAGTAATTGGTGTAGGAAACAGTTTTGTAAGTTATTAATACAGAATGTGAATTTTTTTTTAAAGCAAGCAGCCATTCTGAGGCTTGTTGAAACACTAAGCCAATTTTTTCTAAATTATGTATAATTCATAGGAGTGTTTCTTGTTCTAATGGGCTTTTTGCTGAAACTATCCAATCATCAGAATTAAATCAGTTCAAATCCTTTTTTGTCCCCTCTGAGTTTCTGTTCAAATCCTTTTTTGTCCCCTCTGAGTTTCTGAATAAGTGTTTACTTTGTCATTAGTCTGGAATAATACATTTTTGAGCCTAAAATATGTGAGATGCAGACTTTAAGTTGAAGACTTTGAAAAGACACTTTGATTTTGTTAACTGTTTAAAGAACATGTGCAAAAAAAAAGCAGATCTTTTTTTTCAGGATGCATATGGAGAAAAGATGAATACTCTTGAACAAAGAAGAAACAGGAAAAGCTTTCTGTGGGATTATAGTGATTTCAGAGTAATCTTTTCAGAATCACAGCATAATTAAAAGTTTATTAATATTGCTTATACTTTTTTTCCCCAGAAAACGGTATTTTGTCTCTGAGTACACACCTATTGATGGCAATATAGCATTTTCTGTTAATGCCCATGATCGAGGTATGCGTATTTGAGATTTGACAAAGAAAGGGGGGTTGGAGCTTTAGGCATCATGGTTATGAAAAAATAATTTTTAGTATGGGGGAAGGGACTCCTTACATGCTAAATTTATTCCTCTCCTGGGTGAGGGTATGAATCACCCACCTCTGGGAGGGAAAGCATGGATTTTGTGTCCATCGTCACAGACCTTAGGCTAGTCAAAGATTTTTCCCACCCCCCTGTAAGCTCTGAATCCAGTCACTGCTGTATGAAGTTTGTTAATTTATTTCCTGTTAAAAATTTCAGGAATGGCTTGGCTCTTAACCTCCAACCTCCCTTCCTCTCATGCTCTTCCAGGGGAGGCCTCCTGTTGTGATCGGCTCAGTGTAGCAGTTGAGGGCTGCTTGACCAAAGGCTTCACCCGCTGGGGATCTTTCTGTGTTAGAAACCCAGGGCCCGTCATCTTCTGCTCCCTGGTCTTCATCGCAGCGTGCTGTTCGGGTCTGGTGTTTATGAGACTCACTACCAATCCAGTGGATCTTTGGTCAGCCCCCGACAGCCAAACTCACCTGGAGAAAGAATACTTTGAAACTAACTTTGGGCCTTTTTTCCGTACTGAACAGCTTATCATCCAGGCTCCATACACTAAACAACACACTTACCAGCCATATCCTTCCGGAACAGATGTTCCCTTTGGGCCCCCTCTGGACAAAGGCATCCTGCACCAGGTAATGTGCCGTTCGATAATGTCGTCCAGGAGGTACAGACATACTATATTTGTGGTACATCCTAAGGAAGGCACTTTTTGGGGGAGTGGGGAAAGACTGGACTTGTAATTTCATCAGCTCCCATTGAAGAATTCCCACAGCATCTTCTCTGCAAATAAAGAGTTGCTTGGAGCATTAAGTAGTTAAGGGACTTGCCCAGGATCACACAGCTGCTATATGTCTGAGGTAGGACTTGGACCCAGGTTCTTCCTGGCTTGGAGACCTCTTCTCTGTCCTTTACTTGAGAGCATGGCAGGCCGGTCCTACTCATCCAGACCACACTAGCAAAGACATTATTGTATTTCAAGATTCTTGAATAAACATACAGCCTTTCTGCAAGAAGATTTAAAGAACTAGTAGAATTTTATGGTCGGTCCCACTCTTATGTACTTCTTGTGGCAAAACCTGCCTTTTTATTGAGGTTGGATGGGAAAATTCGTCTAAACAAAGGGGAGACTTTACCAGTAATTTCTTCCTCATCAAGAACTTATTTACTAAAACTTGACATTGTGGATTTTCTCAAAATGAGAGTTTGGGTTTTTTTCAGTCATTAGTTAAGTGGCTTCTCAGAGTGATGAGCCTTCTAAAACTTAATGCTTGGCTGGTTGGGAAGAAAACTTATTTTGTATTGAACACGTTGGCAGTAATTATCCTAAAATCCTTGTATTTTGCCTTCCATCATATTTAATGAGAGATGCCCCCAAGCTTCTCAGGAAGGTTTTTAAAACCATCCCATACTGTCCTGTACTACACTGTGCCTGTGGATATGTCATCCAACTTCTTTTTGTACAGTTCCAGATTTTTTTAATCTTCTCAAACATGATTCCTGATTGTAAACTCCATCAGATTAAACCAGCATTTTTGAAGCATAATCCTGTGTGCCAGGCCCTGTTCTAGGGGCTGGGGATATAGAGATAAAAGTTGTGTCTCTCCCCGCTTCTCAAGGGGACAAGACAAAACATTTATATACAGAAGTAGATTTGAACGTAAAGCAAATTTGAAGTAATTGTCGGTGGGAGGTGGGGGAGAGGTACTAGCAAGTTTGATCCTTTGAGAAATGTTTTATAAAACTTCAAGGAGATGGCAACAAAAAAGTCTGACGTCTTATTTCAGAAAGTAGGATGTTTAGTCTTCCACATCCCCGTTTCCTACTTTGTTGAATACAGATTGTGTAGTGCCTACTTCTCCTATCTGCATTAGCAAGATCAAAGACCCAGAAGAGTGGGGTGTTGGTAACAGCTCCACACTGCCTTGCCCCAGGTAGTTTTGGAAGGTTTGAGGTTATCGGAAGAGGGTTTTTTTGAGGGCCACTGGGAGTTTTACCTTATTTTCGCTGATGTTTTCTTCTCTGACTTTTTGCTGCTCTGAGAAATTGCGTACCTTCAGCCATTTGGTCCTTCCAAAAGCCACTCATGGTTCCCTATAAAGTGTGAGGTCTGGGAAGGCAGCCTAGTTGTCCATATTTTAAGAATCACTCTGGGCTTTGGTTTGCATACTTAGGAGAGTTCTGCTTCAGATATAATCCTCCTCTTACAGATTGGGACAGGGGTTGTATGAACTTTTTTTTTTTTGGGCATTTTGATCAGAGTATTTCACTATGATTAGTTTCTTTTGTAATTCCATATATTTTATTATATGCATTTAAAAACATTTTGTGAGAAAAGGATGCATATAATATCCATTATAAAAAAAGTTTAAAAACCCCTAGATTAGGGGAACTTATACCTCCCATTTTCTGACCCCAATTATCAAAATGTTAATCAACTGTTAGTTAACTATCTAATGTAAACATGGTTCTGTTCTTCTAGGTGCTAGACTTACAGACAGCCATCGAGAACATTACTGCTTCTTATAACAATGAAACTGTGACACTTCAGGACATCTGTTTGGCGCCCTTATCACCTTCCAACAACAACTGTAGCATTATGAGTGTACTCAATTACTTCCAGAACAGCCATTCTGTTTTGGACCACGAAAAAGGAGATGAGTTCTATGTCTATGCAGATTATCACACCCACTTCTTATACTGCATACGGTAAGCAAGAGTATAGTTGGAATTGGCCAGTGAGAAAATGACTTTTTAAGAATTATCCGGGCATGGTGGCACATACATGCCTGTAGTCCCTGCTTCTGGGGAGGCTGAAAATGATGGTTTGCTTGAGCTCAAGAGTTCTGAGATGCTGTAGGGCTAAAGCCAATCGAGTGTTCACACTAAGCCTGACAGTAATATGGTGAACCCCTGGAGCAGAGGGACCAGCGGGCTGCTGAAGGAGGAGTGAACCAGGCAAGGTCAGAAAAACAGCAGGATAAGGTTTCTGTGACACCTGGTATTGGGATTGGGCCAGGAGTATCTGTTACACTTCTAACCTGGGCTCTAAGATAGGGAGAACCAGTCTCCAGTGTCCATCTCCGCCCCCCCCCAAAAAAAACCTCCCCACACAACAACAACCTCAGAACAACACTTTTCAGACCCTTTTAAGTAGGAAGTTATGTCAGGTGAATCTGTAAGTATAGAGAATTGTCGGGTCAGTTTTTAAAGGAGGAAGATGAATGAATTGGCCCTAGAAAAGGCCTGTTTTAGAGAAGTGACTGCTTTTGAGGCTCTGTCAAGTAAAAAGGATGTCTAGTGGTTTTGAGTGAGTACATGAGTACTTGTTGGGTCAGCTTTTCAATGAGCTTTCCAGATTTGAAACATTCCAGAGAGATGCTAGACAATTGCCTGGTGACCTGTAGGATGAACTTGATATTTGAACTTTAATGGGGTGGAGGGAAGAGGCAGCATCAAATTTACCTGCTGGCTCTGAAAACTGCGCTTCTTGAGTCGTGATAGTTATGTTGTTTTCAGGGTGAAGACAAGAAACATATGCCTGGTCATCTCTGAATGTGCTTTTTCTTAGAAATTAGTCTCCCAAAAACTTAGTTATAAGATTTGGTCACATTTTGCTGAAGCATAGGTTCTTTATTTTTTGTGCTGAAGAGAGAGAGAGAGAGAGAGAGAGAGAGAGAGAGAGTGTGTGTGTGTGTGTGTGTGTGTGTGTGTGTGTGTGTGTGTAACCCACACCTTGGGTTTCTCAGTGACTTCCAGTTTGCTTCACCTGTTTTTCAAGGGAGTGCTCATCTAAACAAGATAATGGTAATGCAAGCATACATCTTTCTGACAGCTTTATTCTCTAAGGTTGGGTTTGTGCCTGTTAACATGCCTGGAATGTCTTAGTGTGTGCATGTATTTTCAAAGTCCTTTATCAGATATGATGAAGTAGCACAGACAGTTGACCCTGTGTAGGTAGAAAGAGCACTTTTAGGAGAGCCCTAGTACCAGCTGTGTGTGACCTTGGGCAAACCAACGAATCCCTCATCTTCTCCTTCCTACTTCTGTAAAATGGGGATGAAAATCTGGTAGGACCGTATGTATGTAAAGTGCTTTGTGAACTTTCAGACCTGCTGTCAGTGCCAGGTGTTGACTTTTGAGGTCCCTTGGCTACTGCAAGGCTTCCTTCAGATTATTTGGCAACTGAAAACCTCCACTAAAATTAAGATGAAATGGTGAATACGCATCTTGAGCTTACCTTGAAGCTCTCTCAAAAGCTTTTGCCCCTCAAAGAAACACCTGAATTTCATGTCACCAGCATTTTCCAAATATTTTAGCAGTGGCCACTCTGCTACAGCAAAGACTTAACAATGGAATATTTCCCCAGCATTTACATATTTGTTTGCAGAATCTGAATCTGTTATATTTACATAATTGAGGATATATTTGTCTTACCTGGGCTCATTTAATTTGTAGCTCCACATGTGTGTTTCCTGTGATGTTACCTTGGTTTTTCTCTGTCTTACTGTCATGTCATTGGGTCCCTAAAACATTTCTTGTTCAAATGCATAATAATTGTTTTTGGATTTTTTTGGGCAGGGCTCCTGCCTCTATGAATGATACAAGTTTGCTTCATGATTCTTGTTTGGGAACATATGGTGGACCTATTCTCCCTTGGCTTGTCTTAGGAGGCTATGATGGTAAGTACTTTTGGGAGGGGGCACAGTTTCAGTTACCTAGGATTGATCCCAGAAGTAGCTATTAATTTAGGACCTCTGAAGTACCCAGATATCAAGGCTTGATTTCTTGTCTCATGAATTCAGGGCATATATGTTTTATTTTTTCTTTACCCTGAAAAGAATTTTTTTTTGTTTTCCATTTTAATGAGTTATTATTAACAGACTTTAGTATTATATCAGCACCACCAACTTGTTTACAATTACTTATGTTTAAATGAATATCAGCGCATAAAATTTCATCATAACTTTACAGTCTTTGTCCATTCCTCCTCGTTATCTTTTCCTCTGATGAATTAGATTCTTTTAAGACTTCACATGTTTATAAGACCAGAGAGAGTGAGATTTTAGTCTTTAGCCTCAGTCATCTCTTAAAACTGTGCAGATCAGCACTGAAGCAGTAAGGTTCTCTCATCTTTTTCTGAGTTGGCTGATGAAGAAATTCAGCCATATGTATATGCCACTCAAGGCTTTTAAATACAGAAACTGCAGCTTTGATTTCTCTTTGCTAGTTCCCATAGCACATCACAGCAGACGTCCTGGTGTGCAGTGGTGCAGTGAAGGTCGTAGCATCTTTGGCACCTGAGGTTTGACAAGGTTTTCCTCTGCAGAGGGAGGCAGCCAATGACAGTTCTTGGGCATCTCTGCTGTGAGTGAGGAGAGATTGACCTACAGTCTGAAATATGTATCTGCTAAATGAGGATTTGGCTTCTTTTAGGTAGATGAGTATTAGTTCACAAGCAGCACCCTACCCTTGTCTAGTAAATTTCCCATTCTTGGTACACAGGGATTCTTGTTAGTAAACTCCCCCAGTTATGTCATTAGGTTAGGAGCTCTCTGGTTAGGAGTCTTTTTGGTTTCAAGCTAGTAATCTTTGTGTTACTACATTTTTCCTTTATAGGTCAAAACTATAATAATGCTACTGCCCTTGTGATTTCTCTTCTTGTCAATAATTACTACAACAATACTGAAAAGCTACAGAGAGCTCTAGCCTGGGAAAAAGAGTAAGTTTCTTGCCGTGTTTAAGTAAGCTCCTTGTATCTCTGGATGGTGAGTTTGCTATTCTGTTCTTAGCATTTCTTAGTCAGTGAGCAGATAACTTTGATCCTCTATTTTCCCTTATTCAGTAAGGTGCTATTAGGTAGACTGGGGGAAAAAATCTACACTTTAAGTTCTAAATTCTTGATCCAAATGATAACCCATTCCAAAGTCACATTTTGTTTTTTATGTTTCAGCATGGCAGACTTTAAAATCCCACCTTTTACCAGATAGGAAGGAGAGAGAGCTTTTTTTTTGTTTAAAAAAATCCAATTGAACTCATTTTGAATATTTACTTTTTTATTTGTTTTTGGGGTGAGGCATTCAGAGTTAAGTGACTTGCCCAAAGTCACACAGCTAGTGTCAAGTATCTGAGGCTGGATTTGAACTCGGGTCCTCTTGACTCCAGGGCCAGTGCTGTATCTACTGTGCCATCTAGCTGCCCCTGAATATTTTTTAAATGACCAGAAAATTGACCGAGTTGAAAGTAACTGCCTTATTAACTCACAACCCGGTATAGAAGAAAGTTTAGACATTGTGTTGGTATAGTGGAAAGAGGGATAGATTTGTAATCCCTAGAACCTGTATTTAAATCTTAGCTCTGTCATTTACTCCTGCTTGTAAGATAGTGAGATCTTAGGTTGAATCTCTGTGGTTCTCAGGTTCCTGATCTATCAAATGAAGGGATTACATTGGACGACCCCCGGGGTCTTTTCTAGCTCTGAATCAGTGATCCTAAGACTCTTCACTTTTGCTGGGGTTTTTCCCTGACATGCATTTTATTTACTTTTTAGATTTATCAACTTTGTAAAAAACTACAAAAATCCAAACCTGACTATTTCTTTCTCTGCTGAACGAAGTATTGAAGATGAGATAAGTCGTGAAAGTAACGGTGATGTTATCACTGTTCTAATAAGCTACACTGTCATGTTTTTGTATATTTCCATTGCCTTAGGACACATCAAAAGCTGTCGTAGGTTCCTGGTATGTGATATCAATGAGTTTTCATGTAGTTCTTAGTATAATTGAGACTTGTAAAATCTATCCCCAAGGTATCTTTATGCATTAATCTTTAAAGCAGATAAAGTTACTTTTGTATTTTTAAGAACAAAGTTCTTTGGCACATTATCTTTCTTCATTTTGTTAAACTTTTTTAAAAATTGGAATATGAGTAAATAGTGTATTTATAAATGAGGGAACTTACAGACATGTCTCTTACCACCTCAACTTGTCCTGTTATAAAGTATAACTGTTACTGGGGGAGACCAAATATATTTCCCATCTACTACTGGTAGAGGGCTACTATATTCATTGAAATCAAAAACTGTCATAGTGTGCTTGGTATGTGGTATCATTAAGTTTTCATATAGGTCTCAATATGATTGAGACTTTAAAAAATCTCCCTAAGGTATTTCTTATACATTCATCTTTATATTTAAAGCAGATAAAATTAATTTTTTATTTGTAAACAACAAAGTTGTTTGGCACATCACTTCTCTATCTTCATTTCGGTAATTTTTTTAAAAATTGGGATAAGTATAAATAGTGCGTTGATAAATAAAGAAAAATTATAGATGTATCTCTTTACCACTCCAGCTTGTACTTTTATAAAATATAATTGTTATTAATTATTTCCCATCTACCATTGGTAGAAGACTAGTGTATTCATTGAAATCTTCTTTATTTGGGTATGTCCAATCTGATGTAGCAAAATCTAAACTAACCATTTTTCTTTTATGCATGTTTCAGGTAGATTCTAAAATCTCCCTGGGCATTGCAGGTATCCTGATGGTGCTTAGCTCAGTAGTGTGTTCTCTAGGTCTCTTCAGCTATGTTGGAATTCCTCTCACCCTGATTGTCATTGAAGTCATCCCATTCCTGGTGCTTGCAGTTGGAGTAGATAACATCTTTATTCTAGTTCAGACCTTTCAGGTATACAAATATGTGCCAATCTTGCCTTTTGGTTCCATTTTTTAAATTATTTGAAAGCACGTTGAAAAGAGGAAAAATGCCTTAGTTGAAACTTACTGCATTTTCATTATATGTCTGTAAATTCTAGTCTATTTGGACTCTCATGGTTACTGGGGTGGGTTCATTAGCACCAGGGAAAGGAGTCAATAATAATAACAATGCATTTTAAAGTTTGCAAGGATTTTTACACATTATCTCATTTGAGCCATATAATGTGAGATGTAGGCATTAGTCCCATTTTGCAGACCAGGAAACCAGGGCTCAGACGTGAATTATAACTTGCCCTTTGTTACTCAGATTATAAGTGTCAGAGGCAGGATTTGACCTAGGTCTTCCTGACTTCAGGTTGTCGGTCTGTACAGTTTACCATATTGCCTCTTGCCTTCCTACAGAATAAACCTTTATTACAAAGATTGTTTTCTACCCAGTGGCCAATATGCCACAAGTTTCCTTTGCCCTAAATCTCTCGAGGTAGTGAAGTTAAAGAAGCTTGAGGTCGGTTTGATTTAACGCATGTTTTTTTAAGTACTCATTGTGCAGAGCACTGTGGAAGATAAACGTTTAATTAAGAAGCCTTTACCCTCTTGTGAAATTTAAAGCACATATTGCATGCACCCAGGTGATTGTAAAATAAAATAATACATAAGTGTGTGAGAGATATAAGCTACATGTGATCTGAAGAAGGAAAGTCATTGCCAGCATGGGGACAGGAAAGAGAATAAGAGAGGTGTGCTTGCTATAAGGGGCTGGAGACTTTGGGTCTGTTTGCTTTCTTCTTGTTGAGATCCTGATTGTATAAAACATTTCACTTCTCGTGTCAGATGAAGGGGTTGAACTGATTGACTTCTGAGGGCCTTCCTGTTTTACTTTGGGGAACCTATCTTCTTGTATTTCTCATCCCTGTACTAAGGGGGGAAGGGGCACCAGGAATCTCTTAGATTGAGTTACTTTTAATGTTCTAATTTTGAGGGAAATAGGAAATTTAGCTTTTTAAATCCTCATTGTGAATTAAAATTAAGGATTTTTTTTTTATTCTTTTTGAAGTCGGCCATGTCTCTTTAAGGAGTTATGGAAAGAGAGATTGTAGCTAATTGGGTGGAAATGATCTTTTTTCATCTTTCAGAGAGATGAACGCCTTCAAGGGGAAACACTGGATAAACAACTGGGCAGGATCCTGGGGGAAGTGGCTCCAAGCATGTTCTTGTCATCATTTTCAGAGACCGTAGCATTTTTCTTAGGTAATTACTCCTCCTACTTGTGTGCCTTTGCTTTCATTGAGCCTGGATGGTATGGTATAAGAGGTTTGCAGGTAGGCATCTGGATGGCTCCTTTTAACATTCATCACGTAATCTGAATATTTTATTGGGATGGAGTGTGTGTGTGTGGGGTGGTTCAAAAGAATTCCTTCACTACCTTTCCTTGCAGTTAAGCATCCCCTCACAAGCATCAGTTTTGGGACTAGAGGGATCTCATGTATAAAGCGTACCCTTCTCCCACTTGTAATAACTCTCTCACATTTCTGTGGCATTTTGATATTTACAAAGTACGTTCCCCATTGAGTTACCTTGTTATACAGACATTTCAGAGCCTTTGGGGGCAGCTTGCTCGAGGTCATTCAGCTACCTATTGGACTGAGTTAAAGCTACACTTTTTTCCCACTTGAAAAAAACTTTCTCTGTCCACTGCTACTAAGAGTATATAGGGGGGAGAAAAAAAAACAGAGCAAGCTTGTGTCATAATGTTTCCTGACTCTAGCATTGGGAGAGGGAGTTCTATACATACATGTTTGGTCTCCAGGTTTCTGCCTAATTCCCGAATGTAAATGAAACTTCTCCAATCATTTTTAGATAAGATTTTTAGTGTAGGAGCACCCAAATAGAATCTGAGATTTGAAGAATATTTCTTGCTAAAATTGAGCTAGTACAAGGTGGTAAAGACCCGCCCTCTTTGAATTGAAATATAGTCACAGTGAGAGCTTAATAATGTATGCCCTTCACACCCTCAAAACACCCCTTTCTTCATTTTACCATCTTTCTCACTTCTTGGGGGAACTTTCTTATTGGTATGTCAGCTTCCTTTGCCACAATCATGTCAGAAATGGCAAGTAACTGGTTAATTGTAAAGCTAGTAGTACACATGGATCAGGAATGACCAGTCTCCTTTCCTGTTGCCCTGTAGGGGCTTTGTCAACCATGCCAGCTGTTCGAACTTTTTCTCTGTTTGCTGGAATGGCTGTTTTCATTGATTTCCTCCTTCAAATTACATGTTTTGTGAGTCTTTTGGGACTGGACATTAAGCGTCAAGAGGTAAGGTATTTAATTGTGGCAAGTGATTCTCATTTATGTCTCTCTAAATGACAGTGGTCAGATAAGGTTAATGCTGTGACATGTTTGTTTTCACTCAATCAGAAAAATAAATTGGACATTCTGTGTTGCATCAGAATTGTTGAAGACAGAACTGGCCCCCAGCCATCAGACAGTTATTTGTTTCAGTTTTTCAAAAATGCCTTCTCTCCACTTCTGCTGAAGGACTGGATGCGGCCTATTGTGGTATGCAGCTTTCTGCAAATGTTTGCTTTTGTAATTGTGGAGATAACTGTACAGAAGCCTCAAGTCCTTCCCACTCCTTTTTTCTCTTGCAGATATCTCTGTTTGTGGGTATTCTGTCATTCAGTATAGCAGTTCTCAACAAAGTGGAAGTTGGCTTGGATCAGTCTCTTTCAGTGCCAGATGTAAGATTTGTTTTATTTTGATTTGATTTGTTGGTTAACCAAGAAATTTTATATAGAGGTGTTCAGGGAAAATGCTGACTGATAAATACAGTTACAGGCAGCCTTGTTAAGGGTATCACTCTAAAGATCTACAAACTTGGGTTACCTCCATTGTTCACTATGCCTTCTCCTGTAGACCCAGAACAGTAGCATGAACAACCAGTTTGTTAGCTTGTAGCAGGACTTAAAGGAGGAACCTATAACTTGATGTAGATAAGATGTTCTTCCCATCTTTCTCAGGCATCCTTGCCAAAACAGTCTTCATTCAACAACTTCCTGATGACCTTTTTTTTAAAAGAAAAAAATTTTCTGTTTGTAAAGTACATTTTTATTGATAACTTCTTTGTATCAAAAAATTTCTAGATGATTTCACGTCACCTACATTTTTCAGTATATCCTTCCTCCTTCCCTTCTCAGAGAGTCATCCCTTATAATACAGAATAAAAAATCGAAAAACAGTTCAGCAAAATTAACCAACATATTTAAAGAAGCATAATGTATGCAGTGTTCCCCATATCCAAGGTCCACCACCTCTGCAGAAAAGTTTGGGGGTGGAGTTGCTTCCATCTCTTCTTTGGCACCAAGTTTGATCATGATGATTTTATTTTGCAGCATTCTTTTGATCTTTTAACAATTTTCTTACCTGAGTTTTACCTTGCCTTTTGTCTGCTTTAATCTGTTGTTGTTTTTTTTTTAAAGGACTCCTATGTACTGGATCATTTCAAGTCCATGAAGCAGTACCTAAATACAGGTCCCCCTTTATATTTTGTGCTAGAAGAAGGACATGACTATACCTCTCTAGAAGGACAGAACATGGTGTGTGGTGGAATGGGATGTAACAACAACTCACTTGTGCAGCAAATTTTTAATGCTGCAGAACTAGAGAATTAGTAAGTACTGCATTCTTCTCCATCACTGCAATAGAAGAAGCTTCAGACTCTTTCTACATTTGCTTGGGTGATTAGAAGGCAAAATGTGTGCTCAGTTTCAGCTGTCATGGGCCAGAACTTTCAGAAGTTAATTTAACCCAAAAATGATTTTTATTGTAAGTAAGTGATAAAATAATATGGAAGAGTTGATGTTTAGTTATCCCAGCCATTAATTTGTCTTTGTCTTGTGTCCCATAGCACAAAGATAGCCTTTGCTCCTTCTTCCTGGATTGATGATTATTTTGATTGGATTAAACCCCAGTCTTCCTGCTGCCGGATTTATAATATGACAGACCAGTTTTGTAATGCTTCAGGTAAGAGCCCCTGAAAGTCTGCCCTTTCCTTTGAGCATCATAAAACTTTTATTAAATTTAAATTAAATTTTTATTAAATAAAAAGTTTTGTATAACCTATTGAAATTGAACTAGCTTAGAGTGACAGCTTTCAACCAGTTTATGATTTCCTGTGTCATTTCTTTGGAGAGTTTGAATGTTTCATGGGCTAAAATTAGACAATTATGGCTTATTTCTTGACTGCCGTCCCAAAAGCTGTCTTCTGTGGATCGTAAGCCAAATAGGCCCTTTAAAAACTACTGATTCATCCCATTGGTTTGAAATAAGAAGGGGGCAGCTAGGTGGCGCAGTGGCTAGAGCACCAGCCCTGGAGTCAGAAGGACCTGAGTTCAAATGTGGCCTCAGACACTTGACATTTAACAAGCTGTGTGACCCTGGGCAAGTCATTTAACCCTGATTGCCTAAAAAAGAAATGAGAAGACTAAATTCCTTATTCCTTGGAGTGTAGCTTAACTTACTGGGAGACGTTATGTTACAGTAGTAAGAGATTCCATATTGTGGATTCAGCGCCTGATTCTGCCACTTTTACTTTCTCTGTGATTTTTGGGCAAGTCATTTAACTTCTCTCGACCTCAGTTTCCCTTAGTTGTATGTAGTATGGCAAAAGTTAGTCTAAGATATTTCAAAGATCCCTTTTAGCTCTAAATCTGGGACCCTATGAATGAAATGAAATGAAAAAGCATTTATGAAGTGTAACTGTGTGCTAAGAACTATGCTTGGTGGCTAGATGTAAAAGTGAAACCATGCCTGCCCTCAAGGAGCTTAATTTTAATGGAGGGACAGTACATAGAGGGGAATAGTGACCAAGAGTGAGGAATTTTGGTTTGGAAAATCGTGGGGCTAGCACATGAAGCCATAAGTAAATTGGCATACTCTTTCCAGGAGTGGGATGGTATTAATTAGATTAGATTTTTGTTCCAGAGATTTAGCTTTTATGAACCTTGGCAAGTAATTTAACCTCTCAGTGTTCTGTAAATATAAGACCATAAATTTCAGGCACTGACCTGTGTGGGTAGAGGGTGTTCCTCATTTAGTGCCCTATACCATGGGCATCACAGCTGCTGGAAATCAGGCCCGGTTCCTGTTGCTATTTAGAGCTGGAATGGGCAGGGGGAGGGGAAGGCGATGGGGATGAAGGAGCTGCCTGTGGCATCACAACAGGTGGCAGGAGGAGGAGTAGTAACATGGACCACGCCTGGGGCCACCGAGGCACACAGGTACTGGCCAGTCAGGACAGGGTGGGGACCCCAGAGGGCGAGTTCCAAAAATGATCCGAAGGAGTAGTGAGTGGCGGGGCTGATGGCCAGCATGACTGTCTGAGGGCCCAGGTGAGTCTCTCTTTGGGTTGCTTTCCAGTTTTCTTTTCACTGTTCCCTTTGTGTTTGTTTTAAGAATTAATTGAACTATTACTATAGACACTCATAGTTTAAAAAGAAGAACCTAGAGATTAGATTCTGGTAACATTTGAGGTCCTTTCCAGTAGCGGGGGAGCAAGGCATATTTTGAAGGACAGAAGTCTGTGGACATTTTAGAGATAGAAAGAGCTTGTTTACCCCATCCTTTCAATATTGCAGACAAGGCCATTGAAACTTAGGCTAAAGGATTGGTGATAAAAATAATAAGCATTTACATAGTACTTTAAGGTTTGCAAAGCACTTTTCATGTTCACTTTTGATCCCCACAGCAACCCTGGGGGGTAGTGCTATTATTACTCACATTTTATTGATGAAGAAATGGATTGAGAAAAGTCAAGTGACTTGCTCAGGGTCACACAGCTAGTGAGTGTCTCAGGCAGGACTGGAACTCGTCTTTCTGATTGAAGTCCAGTTCTCCACCTGCTGCAGCATCTAGCTTGTGTACAGGAGTAGAAAGCAGCTCTCTGCTCAGTCTGGTGCTTTGCACTGTAGCTGTACCCCCTTCTCTCTCCCCCCTCCCCCCCAAATTAATTTAGAACATTGGACTGAAAAATATCACACATAGAAGGGGAAGAGAGAATTTTCTTTGAGCTTCTTTACTGGCTCTACTATATGTGTATGTGTGTGTATATACACACACATATGTATACATATATGTACATATATCTTGTATGTATATGTGTGTGTATACATGCTGTGTATATAGGGTAGCTAGGTGGCGAAATGGATAGAGTTCCTGGCCTAGAGTAAGGAATTCAAATCCAGTCTCAGACACTAGCTGTGTGACCCTAAGCAAGTCACTTAACCCTCTTTGCCTCAGTTTCCTCATCTGTAAAATGTGCTGGAGAAGTCAGTGGCAAACCACTCTAGTATCTTTGCCAAGAAAATCCCAGATGGGGTCACACAAAGAGTCAGATACGACTGAACATAACTTAACAAAATGCTGTGTGTATGTGTTGTGTGTGTATGTGCTGTGTATACATGTGTGTGTATATATATAATCAGTATTATGTGGTTTATAAATGTATTTTACAATAAAACCTGCAAAACTTTACTCCTAAACCTTGCTTTATTACATGTTGGTTCTAGTTGTTGACCCAGCCTGTATTCATTGTCGGCCTTTGACTCCAGAGGGCAAAAGAAGGCCTCAGGGTGAAGACTTCATGAAATTTCTGCCTATGTTTCTTTCTGATAACCCCAATCCTAAATGTGGCAAAGGGTGAGTGCCCTTGAGTGAGTCTTAGTTTTTTGGTTTCAGGTTTCCTTTACACTTACACTTAAAAACTATGCATTTTTGTTTACTTGGGCTGTATCGATCATTATTTACTAGAAAAATAGGTTTGACCTCACGGACCCCTTGGAAGGGTCTTGGGAACCTTTACTGGTCTGTCTCTCCTCCAGTTTTAATAGAAAATGTGGAATTAGCATTTTAGTCTGGGCAGCTTTGTGGCAGTAGTCTTCCTCTTCTCCCTCAGACTCTCCTATACCTCTCCCCTGTGAAAATGAGGGTACATAAGAGGTGGAAAGTCAAAATTTAAACTTGCTTGTCAAGAATAAAAAATGATAATGGCCAACATTTATTTATTGCTTTAAGGTGTGCAAAGTGCATTACAAATCTTATCTCGTTTTATCCTCACAACAACCCTGGGAAGGCTATGCTATTATTATCCCCATTTTACAGAGGAGAAAAAGGCAAATAGAGGTTAAGTGACATGTACAGGGCCACATAGGTAGTGTGTGTCTAATGCTGGATTTGAACTTCAGTCTTGCTGGTTCCAGGCCTGGCACTCTATCCGCTGCACCACTTCGCTGCCTCTGGGAATAATAATAGCACCCAGCTCAGAGTATAAAAACAGAAAATAAATGCTAGTTACTGTTAGTGTTGTTACTACTGCTACTACTACTACTACTACTATTATTCATATTGGAAGTTTAACAAGGACTTATTCTTAGTTTGAGAGCCCTTGCTAAAACCATTTTTACATACTGCCTTTCAAAGTATGTGTGTATGTGTATGTGTATGCATATGTATGTGTGTACATATATGTGTATATGCACACAAACACATTCTAGATCCCAGTAGTGTATATATGTGTGCTCTAAATTATCATTAGGAAAGATAGGCCTTTTATGGGACTTTAACCTTGCTCCTCCCCACTTTTTTTGGACGCAAAGAAAGCATTATCATGAGCTGTCCCAGATTCCAGCGTAGTATTTTAATACTCCTATCTGTTTACCTATGTACTTGTCTGAAACCCTAAAACAACAAAGAAAAGCTAGTTAGCAGAAGGAATATATGCTTAAATACTCATTTGCTTTTTGATCAGTAGAACTTCCAACCCTTAGAATTCACAGCTTGCCCTATTGACCGCTCAGGGTGTTTGGCAGACCAGACGTGGCATATTCAGTGTTCAGGATAATTCTCCATCCAGGATGCAGGGAATGATGCTTGTCTACTCTAGTGATGATCTGTGCTCTTTCCCTTCCAGGGGGCACGCATCTTATAGTTCTGCCGTTCACATGAAAAACAATTACACCAAGGTTGGAGCCACGTACTTTATGACTTTTCATACTGTGCTTCGTACTTCCTCTGACTATACTGAGGCCATGAGAAAAGCAAGGATAGTGGCCACTAATATCACTGAAACCATGGGCCTCCAGGACAAAAACTACCGGGTGTTCCCATACAGGTAAGGTTGGACCTCTTGCTCCACAAGCCATAGTTTGTGCGTTTGTTAAATCATATTCTGTTAGGGATGGGCGCTGTGTCAGGAGACGGTATGGTGTGGAAAGAGCTCATCCCAGGACCTGGCTTTGATTCCTAGCTCTGTTGTCCTTGTGACTTGACCCTCAAGTCCCTCAGCCTCTCCGGGCTTCAGTTTCCTCTTTTGTAAAGAAGGAAAGAGAGGATTCGGCTTGGTGGTCTCCGAGGCTTCTCCCAGCTCTAAGCGTGGGGTATCCTGTATTTGGATTGTTGCTGTTTTGCTCCATTTGAATGACAGACAGCAAAAGTGAATGGGAAGAGTTCTGCCACTCACTAGCTTTTGGATGACAAGCAAGTTTCTTGGCAAATGGAGAGTGTATATTAATATTCACTGTATCCACCTGGCCTAGGTTATTGCAAGTATCTAATGAAATGACGCATGTGGAAGGGATTTGAAAAAGTATAAAGTGTTACACAGATGTGAGGGGCTGGGTTTTGTTTGGGGTTGATTTTTTTTATAAACTCTTTCTAGGGGGTCCTGGCCTTTCTGAATGAGGAAAACAGACGGCATTTCCCTGGCCAAGTTTTTCAGTGTGAGAGGGTCTATGTTCAGCTCTCATGCTGTGTGACCATGGGCAAAATCACTTTGCCCCTCTGATCCTCATTTACCTCCTGTATAAAATAAGGGGAGACTCTTGATGGTCTCTTAGGTCCCTCTGTGATCCTGTAGCCCTTAGAGGTAGTCGTAGTAGGAGTGACCCAAACTCCTCACACACAGCAGCCCTAGTAGTTCAGGTGTATGTAATGGTGCTTTAAGATTTACAAAGGGCTTTTGTTGCAATAGCCCTGTGAGGTAGTGAATTAACCCCAAGTTACAGATAAAGAGACTAAGGCCCAGGGAGGTGAGCTGCCCAGGGTCATACAGTTCATATCAGAGAAATAAATAAAACCCTGGCCTCTCTGTAGGTCTTCAGTCCATTGGCCTATGGGCCATAGACCTTCCCCTGCTTTAGTGGCACATAAACCGTGGTAAGCTCATATTTACTGGCTTGGGTTCCTTTCTGAGCAGCAGACCAGCCTCCTTTGGCTTGTCCTTAAAATTATTCATTGCTGGCTGGGAGAAAAGGTAGTATTATGGGAAACTTTGATAGCCACAGCTCAGTACCAGGACACTTTAAGTGGGCTCCAAAATAGACTGTAACGTTATCAGGAGAAGCACCATAGGGATGCCTTTGGGGGGGGGGCAATTGGGGTTAAGTGACTTGCCCAGGGTCACACAGCTAGTACGTGTCAAGTGTTTGGTCTGAGGCCAGATTTGAACTCAGGTCCTCCTGATTTCAGGGCCGGTGCTCTATCCACTGCATCACGTAGCTGCCCAGGGATGCCCTTTTCCGAGAATAGTATGAGTTAATTTGAGGGTTTTTTAGGGGTGGGGGGGTTCCAAACCTGTAATTTTATGAGCAAGAACCCCCAGTGTGAGAATCCCTTCTCCCGTACAGATGGGTTACTTTGTAACTTCTTAGAGCTGTCTGGGGTACGAGGGGCTGCCCAAGATCCCATAATGACTGAGTCAATGGCAGGATTCAACCCAGACCTTGCTGGCTTCACAGCCAGTCTTCTAGCTGCTGACCCACGTTGCTTCTCTTATGTTTACTTTAAAACAAACATATTAAATGGGCGTGAAATCAGTCCTCTTAAAAAGATTAAAGTTTCAACTTAATTCCCTTAAGTACCTCAAACCTTTTTATTTGAAGTAAGAATAATCTGTCAGTCCATTAACGGTCAGTAAACTGCAAAAATGGGAAATGCCCTGGGTTATTGGTCAGTCACTAGTAAGCTTTTGCATGTTTTGCTTACTTCCTGTGAAATGTACTTTGTTGAGGAAATAGGAAGTTATGTCAAAACAATATGTCAAAAAAGGCCAAAAAATTTAAATGGTAAGTTTTTCTTCATTATACGTCTTTTGTAGCATTCGAGATAGTCAACCAAGAATGAGTGAGCAAAGTAAAACTTAGCTGTGCCTGCACTAAAGCTCCATGTCTTCTCCACACAGTGTTTTTTACGTCTTCTATGAACAGTACCTGACCATTGTGGAGGACACCATCTTCAACCTTGGCGTATCCCTGGGAGCAATATTCTTGGTGACTACAATACTCCTAGGCTGTGATCTGTGGTCTGCAATGATCATGTGTGTTACAATTGCTATGATTTTGGTCAACATGTTTGGAGTTATGTGGCTCTGGGGCATCAGTCTGAATGCTGTTTCCTTGGTCAACTTGGTAATGGTGAGTTTTGTGACCCCCTGTACCTTGGTACCCAGAGATTCTTTTTTAAGGATGCCTTATAAGTCTTAAAATAGATAAGATAAAACTGCTATGTGGTCTTAATAACTGTAGAGAAGATTAATGAGGACATTAGGGTTGGCCAACAGAGGAATCCTTGAAAAGAGCTACTTGGAAGTATGACTTTTTTTCTTTTCCCTCTTTATTCCTCCCTGTAAAGATGCTGCTTAAGTATTAATGTGTAGCCATAGTAAGCTGATGAATACATGTGCACATCCAGTCCGTTCTGCGGCTACATTTGTGAATCATTCTTAGCATTGTCAAACCTTTCAGCGTACAGCAGTAAATGTAGTGGTTCTTGCTTATTCTAGCTTCACAGTTATGTACTCTTTAACAGGGTGCAGTGTAAGGGAGAGATTTGAGATCCTTGTTAATAGTTATAACATCCTAATACAAAGCTCAGGAAAGGATTCATTCAGTGCTTGCTTGGCCCACCTCAGAATAAGATTAAGATATAGCAAATACATCATTATTCAGAAATGGATCAAATAACGAATAGGAAAAGTGTCTAAGCACTTTGATGTCTTCGCTGCTTCTAGTAGTTGGTAATAAAGCACATAGAAGAAGGCTTAAGCCTGGAGGTAGGCCATTTCTCTGATGGCTCTCAGTGGTTTTCTTCTGGGGACTACACTGGCCTCTTAGCAAAGGCAAACCTAATGCCAAACTGGGCATTTTGATTTTCCCAAAGTAATGATGTGATTTGTGGTGGTGGTAGTGGTGGGGTGTGTGTGTGTGTGTGTGTGTGTGTGTGTGTGTGTGTGTGTGTGTGTGTGTGTGTGTGTGTGTGAAGATGATGATGATGATGATGACAATGACTATCAAATTTGCCACCCCAAATGCTCTGGAAACCTCATTCAAGATCCAGGTTAAAGAACAGAGTAGTGCATGCATAAGACTGGCCATTTTCAGGCTACCCATCATTAAAGTTGTTTTTATTTCAGAGTTGCGGTATCTCTGTGGAGTTCTGTAGTCATATAACCAGAGCTTTTACCATGAGCAGAAAGAGGAGTCGGGTGGCGCGTGCTGAGGAGGCGCTGTCTCACATGGGCAGTTGTGTAAGTATTCCGAGTAGCCCTTAGGACAACTGGCTGAAATGTCAACAAGGCAGGGCAAGGGATGTTGTGCTCTTCTGTGACGGCAGCACCCGCTAGTGCCTTCCCTTCTCAGATTACCTTCTGTCTAGTGTGTGTATGTTTGGTTTTGTACCTAGTTGTTTATTTGTTGTCTTCCACGTTAGAACATGAGCTCCTCGAGGTTAGGGATTGTTTTTGCCTTTATATCCACAACACATAGCACAGGTCCTGGCAAACACTATGTATTTAATAAATGCTTGTTGACCGAAAAAAATTTCAGTGCTTACTCATAGTAGATGCTTCATTTTTTTCTGACATGGCTAATAAGACACCACAGCCTTGTTGAAAGAAGGTAACTCATAATTCAGTATTCAAACAGAACTTTGGGATTCATCCCATGACTAGAAAACATAAGTTACAGGTCATTTTCCCATGCTTGGTTGATAGGTCAATTCTTTTCTATCTAGAGTTTGGATAAAATGGAAACATGATTGATTTGGGAGTAAAGTAGAAATTTTTAAACAGGAAAAAGGTCATTACTCCCTTTTTATTTGGAAGTCAGTAATATAAAAGCGATCATTGAAGCCATGGGACCAAGTGTGTTCACCAAGGAGAAAATGTAGAGCAAAGAGGGCCTAGTCAGAACCTTGGAGCCTTCATGTTTAAGGAAATGGAGAAGATGAGGAAAGAGGAGACATGGTGCAAATAGAAGGCTGCAGTGTCTCAGAAGTTGGGGCAGGGTGGTATCTACGATGTCCAATGCTACAGAGTACAAAGAGGGTAAGGACAGAAAAAAGGTCATTGGATATGGTGACATTTGTAACACTTCCCACCGCCTCTCTACTTCTACTTCTGCCAGCTGAGTTCTGGCATAAGACCACAAATAGGAACTGGAAAGGTTCTTCCAAGCGATGTGGTGCCACTGTCTCTCTTTATAGGTGAGGAACATGAGGCCTTGAGACCCAAACTCATGTCTTCTGACTCAACTCCATGTTTTGTTTGTTTGTTTGTTTATTTTGTTGGCTAGGCAGTGGGGTTAAATGCCTTGCCCAGGGTCACACAGCTCGTGTCAAGTGTCTGAGGCTGGATTTGAACTCAGGTCCTCCTGACTCCAGGGCCCAGTGCTGTATCCGCTGCACCACCTAGCTGCCCCTCCATGTTCTTTCCATTGAACCCCACTGCCTCTTTCATTATCTTTTCCTTATTTTAATAACCACCTAATTGGTCAGCCTGTCTTCAGTCTGTCCTGTCCATTCCATCCACCACACTGCTGTCAGCAGTTTTCTAACGCACAATTCCGATCACATCATTCTCCTGCCCTAAAATTGTAGGTGATTTCCCATTGCTTACCCCCATTCTCACACCCCACCCCCAACTTCCTGAGCCAGGCATTGAAGGTCAGGCCACAGTCTGATTTCCAAAAGCATGATCCCATGAGCACTAGGTTTTGGATTTGCAGGACTTTGGTTCAGATTCCAGCACTGCTACTTAACTACTTTGTGCGATCTTGGACAGATCATTTTTACCTGTGGGTTTGAGTTTCCTCATCTGTAAAATGTTGGGATTAGAGAGCAGGCAGTCCTTTAAAGTTCCTTCTAGGTTTATATCTCATGGGCCTACCTTTTCATTCTTACTGCATGCTATTCTTAACACACTCCAAACCCCAGCCAATCCAGCCTGGCTGTTCTTTCCATCTGCCCTTTGCTACCTGCATGCCTCTGTGTATACCATTTCTCGTGCCTGGATGGTCCACTCTGAATTGCTGCCTCTTGAGTTGGAGGGAAGGAAGATTTCATGTGGCCCCTTCTTCAGAAAGTATTCCCTAACTCTTCCAGCTCTAAGTGATCTCTCCCATCTTGATTCTTTCATACCATTGTTGGTAACTCTCCCAGGCACTTATTTTAGTATGACTTGTATCGTTTGTATCACTTGCTGCTCTCCTCTCCTGCACCCCTTAAGTACACAGCATTAGATTCTGCTTTTGGTCACTAAGGACTGTTTTATCTTTGTATACCTAGTGTGAAGCAACTGTGCATCATCTATGCTTCATGTGTTTCTCTTGACTTTCAATTCTGTCACATTGTTTTATCTATTCTAGTGCTCATTAAGTACTGAAGCTGGACACATAATTTTAAAAAATCAGTCTATGACATTACTTGGTAGTTTTAACGGAGGGGGGATTTAAAACTACTGGCTTAAATTAGAGTTGGGATTATCAGTGGCTTGTAATTGACTGTGCTGTTTTTGCCCCATTGCCTTTGACCATTGAGTAGAATGTATTAAGTTGAGCTCTTGCCCTTAAATTATTACTCTAAGGGGATATGTGAATTTGAGGCTGGAGAAGGTACAGTTGTTTACACTGATACATATAACTTGTTTCTAACATTTCCATATTTCCTCTTAGGTTTTTAGTGGAATTACACTAACAAAATTTGGAGGGATTGTGGTGTTGGCCTTTGCCAGATCTCAGATTTTCCAGATATTTTACTTTCGGATGTATTTAGCTATGGTCTTGTTGGGAGCCACACATGGCTTAATATTCCTTCCAGTCTTGCTTAGCTATGTAGGTAAGTTTTATTAAATTGTTTTTATGGGTATAAAATGGGAAGAACTTGGTGCTACAGAAGCATTTAAAAATATATTCAAGGTTTTTATCAGTGGCTTTTGATTTGCAGTATTCACTTTAAGGAATTCTCATTTTTACATGAAGGATTTGTTGCCACAACTGTTACTTGTTACAGTGCCAAACCCAGGAATTATACATGATGTCAAAGTAAGAATTTCTATTAATTCCCCTACTTTGGCTGGTCCTTGGGGAAGTAGAAGGGCCCCTAGATAGGACATTGATCAAATTCTGGCTAAACATGACTCAGTACCAGTTGGCCTCTACTAGCATTTAATGTTATTGAGTAGATGACTGGTGAAGAATAAATATGCAGCCAGATTATTCATGGTGTTCACAAATGCTGCACTGGTATTAGCTTTATTTACTTTTTGGGGATGAGAATAAGAACACTGAAGTAGAGGCCTCTCTACTGTGACTCTACCCCTGCCTTTAACTGTTTTCAGGTATAAGGGCTTAAATTGAGTCAGCTGTGAGCTTGGACCAAATCCCTGGGTGAACCAGCCTCAGCAAAGCAGGAGTGAACAGGATAAAAAGGAAGATTACTAGTTTACTTGATAGCATTTTCCTAAAGACTAAAATGAGGCTGGAAGACAATTTTCTTCTACTAACATGTGCTTCTTCACCTTCTGTGTGAGGTTACATTTAACTGCCTAGTGACCAGGGAGAACAAGAGATGAAATTGGTCAGCTCAGAACCCTACAACCTTAACATTGAATAGTTGGTAGTGCAGGAGAGGAAACCCAGCCTGCAGTCAGGGAAACCCAAGTTCAAATTTGGCCTCAAGACACTTACTAGTAATCTTGGGCAAATCACTTCACCTCTTTTTGCTTCACTTTCCTCATCTGTAAAATGGGGATAATAGTAGCACCTATCTTGTATTATTAAAATGGTTGTGCTAAGAAGAAACAGACTCAGTTGATGACACTCTGGGGAAAAACCAGTAACCAACTTATTTTCCTTCCCCTACAGGGCCATCAGTAAATAAAGCTAAAAGTCAGGCTGCTCAAGAACGAAACAGAGGAACTGAACGGGAACGGCTCCTCAACTTCTAGTCCTTTAGGTGGCTGAATGGTCATGTGGTATAGCATGGGGCAGTCATGGTATTCTAGGAACTGTGGTGTTGGCGTGACTAGCTTGTGCACTGGACATCACTGAACACCACCGCTATTTAACACCAACAGCTTCAGATGTGTTTTTTAAACTCAGGAATGCTCAACTTGGACTTGTGAAGCAGCATTACTAAATCTTTAGGACACTGAGACACTTTGGAGAAGCTAGAAGAAACATGTAACTTCTCAGCAAGCCAAAAGTGACGGCCAATATTGGTGGGTATGAGAATAGACTGCTCACTGCCACCTTTTTTTTTTTTTAAAGAAAAAGCAAATCAATGCAATTTTTTCTCCCTCTACTTTTAGGGAAAAAGCCATTCATACAGGTTCTGTACCATATTTTTAAGTAACCTTCCAGAATACTGTGTATATATATATATTGTACACATATATATATTAATATTATATATACTTTATAACATTTTGTAGTTCAAAGAGCTTTATTAATGCAATAAATTAACTTTGTACAATTTTTGTAAAAACTAGCAAATGAATTCAAAAAGTTGTAGGCTTCATTAGAGCTTGGTCTCCGAAAACCTGTTTGAAAAAAGCAACATGTTCATCACAGTGTTCTCCTGTAAAGGAAAATAAAATAAAGTCTGTTAGATTCACTATTTAAAGGAATTTCACAGATTAAAAACAGATGGGGAAAATGAACCTAGAACAAACACCTGCAGTTGGTACATATGTATGAGGGGTTTTAACTTATTTTCTTTAATAAAATGATATGTTTTTCTTAGGCTTTGAGCTTCCTTTTCTGTATAAGACACTAGCATCTTTACTGTAACTTCACAACTACTTAATATAAAAACCTTCTGTCAGCAAAAAGAGACAATTAGATAAATATATAACCCTTCTTCTACTTGGAGAGGAAAGGAGAAATGCAGGACTAACCTGTCACCACTGAAAAAGCACGCTTGTTTTTAACTTTCTGCCTTAACTTGCAAGTAAAAGTAAAGTCCTCAACTACTTTATCCATCTTAGAAAAGAATGAAGGCCTACACAGTTAATTTTCAGAAACTGATCTAGAATGCTGTTGCTGATCAAAGGTTCACAGGCTTGTGAACTAAGGCAGAAGCTAAGAGTCTGAAATATTAAAGGACCTAGAGAAAAGAGAGTTTTCAGTTTGGTGTGAGAGTACTGAGAAGCTGTTTACCACTGAGTATGGAACTAAAGGAAATGGGATGAAGTTTGAGCAGTCAATTAGAACTAAGAAAACAGACCACCGTATAATTTGCTGTTTTAACTATCTTCTTGAAGTTCTTTATACCTGGGTGTTTTGCCATAACTGGTAATCTCAAGTCTAGCTGAATTTCTTGGGCCCATTTAAAAAAAAAGCCATTATTCAATTCTCCCTATAAGTTCTTACTTTATTAAAGATTAGAATCTTTTTTTAAGTGAATTACTGGCTACGCCTCAGATAGATTTGTTAGATGGAGATTGTGTTCTCTCATAAGAGACTAGGACTAAAACTTGGCTACTAATGAATTGTCAAGGAGGCCTTTTTTCTTTTGTTAAGAGGTGTGATGTATATGTAACTTCTCAACCAGCTATTTAGAAAGAAAAACCAAAAGTCAGAGTTTTCAAATTCTGTTGCTCTTTGTTACTCACCTGGCGTAAAATGTGGGCTCCCTCGTAAACGCTGATTTCGTTGTTCAAAAAAGCGGAATATGGTATAGAAAAGCATGTTATCTTCAGTTTGTTTTGCAGCATCCAGAAACTTTCGAGCAGAGATGCTGTCATGTCCCCCAATACCTCGGATAAACCTTAGGGCAGCTAACACCTGGTGCTTAGAAAGAAGAACTTCTACTATTTCATCATTGGCCGTGGAAAGCCTCTGAAAGGAGAAAAGAGATGGTAGAAATATAAGCAGATCTGATTCCTGGCTAGAAACTCCCAACAGCATTGATTATCAATCACCCTTACCTTTAGCATGTCCAGAGACAACTGATGAGCAGGGGGATAAATACTCTCTAGGGACAACAACAGACAAGCCTGGAAGAAAGTTTTTCAGATAATTTTCAACTTTAAAGATAAACACAAATGTGACTAAGAAATATTTGAAATCAAAAGTTAACAATAAAGAAATTAGGTTATGTGACACCTACCAAAGGCTTTGAGTCACTGAGGACATGGTACTGCAGGAACTGATGGAGCATGTAAAAGAGGTTGTGCTGAACAAGTGTCTTGATGACAAGTTCATGTAGGTAATGCTGAGGAAGAGAAAAAGGGTTAGAGGATGTTTTGCCTCACCTTGTGCAGGGCAATGAGTACAAGACAGCAGACTGAGGCCAGGGGAGAATGCCCTGCTCTTTTTAGGGGAGTGGTCTTAGCATTCTTGAGGCACGTTTGATGCTCCTTTAGTATATCCAGAAGGGAGATTAAAAGAGAAAAAGACTATTTAAGACTAACAGTCTTAAATTTTAAATGTGGTGTTTAAAGTTATAAGATCATTTTTTAAAATTTGGCAATAAATATTGCTTGAAAAATACCTGAACAGGGATCTGAAACTGGTTGAGAGAGCGAATATATTCCATCAGGACTGCTATCACAAACTTATGCGGTATCTCCTAGAAAAAAGAACAAAAATTTACTAGAGTGGATTTCATGTTAACAGAACTAAGGGAGAGCTATAAAATTACAGGTCTGGATCACAGTAAAATAAGGAGAAAATTAAGTGTGTCATCTTGTTCATTGGGTTCTGTCAATTAAAATCTAATTTTACCATCAAGGTTATTGATCATGACCCTCTGGCTCCATTCCCCTCACCCCTCAAAGAGTGGATGACACAGATGACCATTTTGTCAGGGGACCACTTTCTGGGTTCTGCTAAATCACCTTGTACGGGGAAACCACTCCAGATTCTTTGTTATGATTAACTCAAGGTATTGGAAGCATGAGTTATACTACCAACTTCATCTGCTTCCTCAATTCTTTTATTTCTTGGAATACTATTCACTGAGCAAAGGATAAATTAAATGAAAAATTTATTTACCAACCTTCTTTTCTGTGAATACCGAGAGAACATGAGTGTACATATCAGACTGATCAATGACAGCTTGGGTCCGAACAGGTCTTTTCAGAAGGGGATTGCTTCGGCTCTGCCCGTTTCCACTACCTAAAGTAGAAGGAAAAGAACAGTTGATAGCCAGCCCACTAATTCACAGCAAGAGACCCTACCCACAATAAGCTCAAGATGCAGAGACAGGAGAGTGTGCCGGGCAGCCTGGTGGACTAGGAAGAGAGCTGGAGTCAGAACCAGAAGGAACTGCCTGCCAGGCTTCTATCCTCCTTCCAGTCAATCTTCCTGGCTATGGGACACTAAGCGAGTCACTGAGCTTCTTCCTGACACTGCTTCTTCATAAGAGGTTGAACTAGATGACCTTTAAGGTTCCTTCCAGCTCTAGATCTGTGGCTGGGTAAAGATTTCGGAAAGCAAGCTTAGGCTCAAAGTGTAGTTAAGATTCCTACCCTCAATAAAGTCACTCATAGTATGGTAGAGGACTATTATAAAAATACTGTAGGAGGGGCAGCTAGGTGGCACAGTGAACAGAGCTCCAGCCTTGGAGTCAGGAGGACCTAAGTTCAAATTTGACCTCAGACACTTGACACTTACTAGCTGTGTGACCTTGGGCAATCAATTGCCTCACCAAAAAGCAAAAAAGTAAAAAAAAAAATACTGTAGGGAAAATGGGAGGTCCAAGGGCAAGTCATCTAATACTGACTGGATCACTGAAAGTTTTGTGGATGGTGGCCATCAGGTTTAGCTAGAACACACAGTAAGGACATGAGGTGAGGTTGAGAAGGTAGGTTAGTGCCAGAGTGGAGGGCCTAGAATAATACCAGGCACACATTTATATTTTTGTTACGTAAGCAGCAAGACACAGGAGACAACTGGCCTTAAAGCTAGGCAGACCAGACTTCAGTTTTGCTTTTGATGAATATTGACTCTCTGATCCTAAGCAAGTTACTTTAACCTCTCATTACTCCATTCTCAACTCAAAGCAGAGACGGTGCCAACCTCCACTGGTAGAGGAGTCTCCTTGACCTGAGAGAGTACCCTGTACCCACAAATTACAAGTCATCTGTATTCCCTGTGTAGGCAGTGAAGAACCGCTGAAGTACTCTGAGCTAAAGATAAAACTATATCTAAACTACAGACAAAAAAGGCAAATCTGGTGGAAGTGGGAAGGATAGGAGGTAGATCATGTGAAGACCTACTTTGGAAGGCTACTAAGACAGGCCAGTGAGCAGCAAAGAGGACTTGTTTGTTCTAAGGCAGGGAAAACAAGGTGGGAATGAATGCGAGAGATTGCAGAGGAAGAATGTAAGACATGAAGTCGTGAGGCAGATTTCCACGTGTGGGTTATGAGGTCCCACTGTTTCACAACCACACTCCATAGTTTGAATTACTGCCTCAGCGGCAACATCTATAAACCTGACGATTTCACTCTGGCTTCACTCCTAGGTAGTTAATATAAATACAGAGTAAAATCATTCTTAGCCTGAAGCTGGTGCTACATTACCATATCTCGCGGTCTCCTTCCCTCCTACTGAACCCATGTCTGGGAGGGCACCTCGACAATCAGATCGCACAACTCCCCTTTGGCGCGTACTACCTCAGAGATCCCTCGCTGGACATCCCCTCGTTGAAGCTGCGCTGCCTTTTCCCCTAAGTAGGTTCCACTTTCAGTGCTTTGATCTGACCCTTTGATGAAGATGATGTGACTCTACAACACTCCTCCAGCGCTGCGGTTACCAGTAACATTTTGACCTCAGACTTCCTTTTTTTGGGTGGCCCTCATCTGGTGCTTCTCTTATTTTGTCAAGTAGCACTAGAAACACTTGTGCATTTGCTATTCTCTCTCTGAAAAGATTTTGGGACTACGAATTCTAATGAAACCACTGAAAAAACCATATTGGAGAGCTACCCTGTGCTGACATCTGCTCTCTTTTCTCCTACCCTCATGACCGCTTTGCTGCTTCATCATCCACACTATGCCCCTCACAACTGTGGGTGTACCCGAAGGCTCGATCTTCTCTTCATCAGTGACCTCATCCGCTCTCCCATGAGTTCGATTATCTCTACGTATCTATTTCCCAGATCTATCTTGAGTTCCATTTGCACATCTACTGCCTACTAGAGATTTCAGAATGGATGTCCAACAGGTACGTGTCCAAACCAGAACTCAATCCCCACCCCCGACCACAATTCCAGGTTTGCAATCTCAGCATTACCTCTGTCACTCTCCTTCACCCTACATATCCTGACCCGCTGCCCCTCTTGTCATCTGTCTCCATGACAGGTTTCACATTTGTCCATTTTTACTTGCACAGCCATGACCCGAGTTCCTCAGCACCTCTCACCCGGACTAATGCAATACCCTCTTCCATGGCCCTCTCCACCCTCTCCAAGCCACATGGCCGCTTAAGTGATTTTCTGAACATACAGGTCTGTGTCACCTCCCTATATTCCATAAACTCCAATGTTTCCCAAATGCCCCTAAGATCAAACCTAAGCCCCTCGGTTTGGCCTTTAAAGCTCTTCACAGTTTGTGCCCAGCTACATTTTTAGTCGTATTATACCCCCTTCCTCTATTCTGTGGTCTAGTCAGACTGGCCTTGCTGTTTCTCACACAACACCACGTACTGCGTTAGCACTGGCCTTCCCCCTCCCCCAGGCCTGGTAAACTTTCCCCTAATCCCTGCTTCCTGTCCTTCTCAGTTCCACCAAACTGTTCCAGCAAGCCCTCGGTGAAGTCTTCCCACATTTCCCCCCAGCGGCTCATGCATGTTTCCCCAATAGAATGTGAGCTCCCCAAGGGCCAGTTCCATTTCATTTTTGTCTTCGTAGCACCAGTGTCTGGCATATAGTAGGGTCTTAGTTAATGCTCACTGACTGATTTACTGTATCACAATATTGCAAACATAAGATGGGACTCTGGATATTCATTTGCCTTGAGTAAGCTGACTCATCAATCTGCCAGTGGAAGGAAGTAGGTTGACTTGGGAGCAGGATAACAAGAAAGGCCATCACAAACTGTCAGAGAAAGAAAAGATCTTATAGATTAACTATTTCAATCTGCTCATTTTGCAGATAAGCAAACAGAGGCCACAGAGATATGTGACCAACATCACACATGCACACTGAGTCAATGTTAAAAGTGGGAAGAGTACCAAGTCCATCCCAATTATCTAGTCCACTGTTCTTTCCCCTCCAACAATTAGACCCAGGGGTCTTTTCAGCCGTGCAGACTTTGTCTTAATGGCCACAGGAAGCTGAAAGTTGATGGAAGATACAAGTTAGCTCTGAAACCAGAAAAGAAAGCTCAGTCTGTAGGGCTATACGGATGACTAATTACAAAGAATCAGTCAATAAACATTTACCAATACCTGCTGTGTGCCAGACGCTCTGCCAAGCGATGGGGACACAAAGCAAGGCAAAGGTCCGTCCCCGCCCCGAAGGGTGCGCTCCGCAGGACTTGAAAACAAAGACTCGAGACTCCTGATCAACGCAATGACCACGATTCCAGAGGATTCAGGAGGACACAAGCCACTCACCTCCTGACAGAGGGGTGATGGACCTGGTGCACAATGAGATGTATTTGTTTGGACACGGCAAGTTCATGAACTTGTTTGCCTGACTATTGTGCGTATACCATTTTTCACAAGGGTTTTTTCTTTCTTTTTCAATGGACGTGGGGGTGGTGGGAAAAAGAAAAGTAAATTTTTGTAAAGAAAAAAAATGTTTTTTAAAAAGAAGAAACTAGAGCAACCATTTAAGAGCATGAGGCCCAAATTCACCTAAAAGAAAAACCAATTTTATCTAGAACTAGCCTGCAGGCCCAGAAAAATAGATGGCTTACATAACATGTCTATGTTTCTATGTAGGAGTATCAATTCATGTGAATATCCTAATTAAGTTTTAAAACTCTTTGTCTGATGGAAAGAAGCTGCTGATGCCTGGCCCAGAAGAAGACGAGGAGAGGGCATTCAAAGTTCCCTGGGGAAAAGGGAGAATTGCCTGGTGACTTTATGGTGAGGCCTGCAAGAAAACCTCTGAGAAACGAGCTTTGGAGTTTCATTGCGAAAGCTGTTCCTGGTCTCTCCTTTACAGGGATTTCTTTAACATCTTCCTTAGGAAGAACAGAGGGAAAGAATTTATTCACAATACAGGCTAAGACTTCTGTAGCCAAAAATAGGGAGTATGACACTAAGATGTGTGAAGAAACAAATGGAAAAATTCCTTTAAGTGACACTAGATACTTCAAAGTGTTTCTGTCTTTAATGTCCATGAGACGCAAAGAAGGGAACGAGATGATACTGTGAAACTACAATACAGGAGGGTGCCCCTCAACACCTCCGCTAACTTCTCTGGGCCAGACTTCGCCAGGCACTGGTATAAGAGTCCTACACAAGGAGGGGCACACTTTGCATTGGGCCATCTGGCGCCACCTGCAGGCTCCTATTAGTCCTTTCCCTGGTGTGCTCTTGGACACTCACTTATTCATGTGACTTATGAGACCATAAGCAAGCTATTTAACTCTCTGGGCCTCAGTTTCTTCATCTGTAAAATGGAGATGAGAAACTTGGATTATTTATCCCAAAGGGTTTTTGTGAGGAAAGCACTTTGTAATCCTTGAAGTGCTTTATAAAATGAGTAGTATTTACAGCAAACAACTCCATCTACACAGAAGGTAAACTGCTTCAAAATTATAAAATGGGTTAAATAACCAGAACAGAATTAACTACCTGAAAAATACAAAATATAAAAATAAAAATATTTTGGGGGCAAAGCCAAGATGGCAGAGTAAAAGCAGTGACTTGCTTGAGCTCTCCCCCAAACCCCTCCAAACACCTGTAAAAAATGGCTCTAAACAAATTCTAAAGCAGCAGAACCCACAAAAAGAGAGAGTGAAACAAATTTCCAGCCCAAGACAACCTGGATGGTTGATCAGAAATGTATAACATGCCAGGCTGGGAGAGGAACACAGTTCAGCATGGGCATGCAGGCCTCAGAGGACTGAATCACAGGCAGCTGTGGCAGTTTCCAGACTTCTTAACCCATGAACACCAAAGACAACTTAGAAGGTCAGTAGGAAAAGTCTGTGTCTGCGGTGGTTAGAGACAAGTGTGGCTGGTCCCAGCCCCAGTCTCCGGGTGAAGCCCCAGAGCAGTGGCTGCTTCCGGAGCTTCTGGCCCACAGACTGAGGGGGAATCCAGTGGCTGATAAGAGGGGGATTGCAGGGATCTCTATGCTGCTGCAGGAATCTCTTGTTTTGCTGGTGCTTGGATCTGGGTCACAGTTCTGGGGGGTGGTCCTAGGGTGAGGAGGAGCATTGGTGTGGTGGAGCTTGTAGTGATGGTACAGAGAAATCCTCCTCACAATTCCAAGACAGAAAAGAGTGCTTGTGATCATTCACAGACCAGAGCACAGGCTAAGAAAGGAGTAAACACCTCACTCTTGATCATAGCACCTTGGAAGAACTGAAAATTTACAGGTCCCTAGAAGTATCTCTGCAAACAGCTACACAAGGGGCAGCTAGATGGCATAGTGGATAAAGCTCTGGCCTTGGAGTCTGGAGGACCTGAGTTCAAATCCGGCCTCAGACCAAACACTGACACTTACTAGCTGTGTGACCCTGGGCAAGTCACTTAACCCCAACTGCCTAAAAAAAAAAACCAGCTACACAAAACCCCTGAAGCTTGAGACAGTACATTCTCCATACTGGAAGTAGACTCCTATCTTAACAAAGAGTTTAAAACTCAAGTAATTGGCTGAGACCATGAGCAAGAAGCGCAAAAAGAGTCAGACTACAGAATCTTACTTTGGTGAAAAGAAGATCAAAACATACAACCAGAAGAAGACAAAAAAGTCAAAGCTCCTACATCCAAAGCCTCCAAGAAAAATATCAATCAGTCTCAGGGTCGAAGAGAATTTTGAGAAGCAAGTAAGAGAAGTAGAGGAAAAACTGAGAGTGATGCAAGAAAATCATGAAAAAAAGTCAACAGCTTGCTAAAGGAGACCCAAAAAATACAGAAGAAAATAACACCTTAAAAAAAGCCTAACCCAAATGGCAAAAGAGGTCCAAAACACCAATTAGGAGAAGAATGCCTTCAAAAGCAAAATTGGCCAAATGGAAAAGTCCAAAAGCTTACTGAAAAAAATATTTCCTTAAAAATTAGAATGGAGCAATTGGAAGCTAGTGACTTTATGAGAAATCAAGACACTGTAAAACAAATCCAAAAGAATGAAAAATTAGAAAACAATGTGAAATATCTCATTGGAAAAACAAAATTGACCTGGAAAATAGGTCCAGGAGAGAGAATTCAAAAATTATTGGACTATCTGAAAGCCATGATCAAAAAAAGAGCCTAGACATCATCTTTCAAGAAATTATCAAGGAAAACTGCCCTGATATTTTAGAACCAGAAGGCAAAATAGAAATTGAAAGAATCCACCCATCTCCATCTCCTCCTGAAAGAGATCCCTAAAGGAAAACTCCTAGGAATAATGTAACCAAATTCCAGAGTTCCCAGGTCAAGGAGAAAATATTGCAAGCAGCCAGAAAGAAACAATTCAAGTATTGTGGAAACACAATCAGGATAACACAAGATTTAGCAGCTTCTATGTTATGGGACCGCAGGGCTTGGAATATAATATTCTGGAGGGCAAAGGAGATAGGATTACAACCAAGAATCACCTACCCAGCAAGACTGAGTATAATCCTTCAGGGGAAAAAAATGGTCATTCAGTGAAATAGGGGATTTTCAAGTACTCTTGATGAAAAGACCAGAGCTGAATAGAAAATGTGACTTTCAGATACGAGACTCAAGTGGAACATGAAGAGAAGCAGCCCTGGAAACCAATTTCACTTGTGACTAGAAGATATGGGTGAAACAGTATCAACTGTTTGTCCAAGTTGCCCTGTTTTGGCTGTGTAGGTGGAGGCCAGAAAGATGGCAACAACAACGCAGGAGACTAGCAGTGACCCTCCCCCAAAGGCAGCTATGAGAAGAGACTCATCCCTGTGGGTTCTCCTCAGGGGTCACCACCCCCAGCCTGTCTTCACTGAGAAAGGAAGACTTTGTACACAGAATTGCATTTTAGACATAAGTTCATCTGACCTTAGAGGTTGGGATGAACAAAGACTCCGAACACCACTCCCACCTGCCCCCTTTTTCTGGAAGAAGCCTCTACTGTTATGAACACAGCTGTTGAGAGTGGCTTTTAAGAAAGCTGCTGTTTGGAATGAGTCAAGATAGCCCCATTGGAGCCATTGACTTCAGTCGACGAGCATCTTTGAAACCCTGATTTCCTTGACTTTGAAACCAATGTTAAAAACTAGTCTTGGGTAGCTAGGTGGCGCAGTGGATAGAGCACTGGCCCTGGATTCAGGAGGACGTGAGTTTAAATCTGACCTCAGACAGGTAATGCTCACTAGCTGTGTGACCTTGGGCAAGTCACTTAACCCCAACTGCCTCACTAAGGAAAAAAAACAAAACACTAGTCTTCAGGGAAGTAGCTGAAGCACCTGCTGCTCTCTTCCGAGTCCAATGGAGCTTTATCCTACCAGCTACAGGCACAACAGGGCAGGGGACCTGAGGGTGGCTGGAGCTGACAGTGCCTTCTTGTCCTGGAGAGGGAGATGTTCCCATGGCTGACGGAAGAGGGAGGCAGGCACTCCCTGCATTCTTGGCTCCTGTTGATCCTGCCTGCACTCCACCAGTTAGAGCCATTTGGTTCTGTCATCCTTAAGACCATCTGTCCTCACCTTCTCCCTGACCGTTTTCTGCCTGGCGAAAACATGCTTATCCTCCAACCCCAACCAAATCAATACCACCATTGCCTCTGGAAAGGGCACATCTGTGAACTGCCCTATTGTTCCACTTATCTCTTTGGACTTCCCAGACTACAACTCTCTTCCCTTGACCACCGCTCTTTCATCTGTGCCGTCTCCTACATTAGAATGTAAACTCTGTGAGGCACTTTCTCCATTCTTGTATTTGTATCTCCACTTCTTAACATAACGTTTGGTATGCAGTAAGCTCATAAGTGATTTTTATTCATTTGTTCACTCAGTCATCCATTACAAGCTATGCCAATGGAGTCAGTTGTGAATTAAAGAAATGTCATCCTTTTAATAGACAGAAAGCCATCTCCTCCTTCCAGTCCACTTGACTCCTTGGGGATCACAGTTTCGAAGCAAGGGAAAGGGGGTCTCACTCTATTCAAAACAGAAAGTTGCCGCTCAATACAACCTACTGGGAAACACTTGTAATGTCTGGAGTCAAGTAAAGGATGGGAAGTCCTTTCATGATCTTATTCAAACAACTGGAAAGTGTCAATTGTCTGACACTTTGTCAAGTAAAGAAGGAGTTTAGAAGACATCATAAGGAGATAGGTGACACTGGGCAGAGGAATATATCTGGGTACTCTGAGATCCTGCTTTCACCTGATCATGCCTTAATAAATTAATTAATTAAAAAAATAAAAATAAAAATATTTTTAAAGAGGATACACATAATAACTACAATTTCTACAAAAGAAAGAACATCAGGGCTTTGAGAAGAGACATCAGTGAAAGCTGGTGTAAGAAAAAAAATACACAATATAAATGTGCTATTAAAATAAATCTGTTAGGACATTTCTCTCAAATTAACAAGTAAATGGAAAGAAACAGCCTTCTAGCTATTATTGATCACAACAACAGGATATTAAATTCCGTGATGGATCTCTTATTTTAATAGATTATCAACTGAAAATAGGAATGAGGGGAAACATAATGTTTTCTTTTCTAATTTATCAAATGTCCGTCCATTCTGGCTTTGGAAGATAGAGGCATACCATAATAAAAGAATCAAAATCTCAGCCTCATGTTCTATAAAATGGGAATAACATATAACTACATAAAAAATCTAGAGGTGGAGAGGTTACTAAATAAAATGAGATCCACTTCAATATTTCAAGGATCTATGATGTGCCAGGCTCATAACTCTCCAGTCTGGAGGACAAGAATAGTAGTTTAGTTTATTGTTACAACTTTTATTTTTGTAGAAGACAGTACGCAAAAAATCACAAATATATTTGAAACAAAATAAACTGAACTAATTTAAATACTTAGGTGTTTCAGCCTTCCTAAACTACTACTACCAATAATAGCTTTCCCTTTTGGTTTAGACACAGGAATGACTTGACAGAATCACATATTATTATATAAAGTAAGATGTCATGTAGTCCAACACCCTAACTGTAAGATTTGGACCAGAAAAGTCAATATAATTGGAGGCATTTCATTAATTTAAATAAGATTAAATATGACATTTTAAAACTATTAACTCATGTGAATTTTATTTAAATTAGACACAGCCATATTTAATAGGGGAAATCTCTTCACCATAGTATAAATAACTTACCATAGTGTAACTCTGCTCAGCTTCCAAATACTTTTTATACTCATGATTGAGTTTATCAAAAACAGTGGCAATCACAGGCAACGTTCCTCTGTCTGATTCACTTAACACTAGAAGAAATACAACATTCATACACACGTAAAAATATTCTTTAGAATGTAAACTCTATAAACAAAATTAATAAAAATCTAATCTTACAAAGACTACCCACACTCATGATATATTTTTAAATTCTCCAATCTCCTAATGGGAAATAGATAGCTGAAATATAATCCAAAGAAGATGCCTTGATAACATTCATTCAATCATATTGTAAGGGGTGGCTCCAGTAGAAATAATTATCTTCATCCAGAATGTCTTAAAAACAGTCTTATTGCTTTAGAGCTGAGTAACAGACAATATTCACTATAGGCAGATGTGACCAGATTCAGGGTTTCCTTACTGTTCTGAGTCTAGGACCATCCTGGTTAGTGCCTTTTTAACTACTCTTAAGACCAAGTAATTCTGGGGAGTCTCTTCTGTACTGCCAAGAGGTGACAAGGTACAAAAATGTGGCCCAGTACCCAAATACAGGTGGCAGGTGGCAAAAACCTCAATCCTGGGAAGACAAGAATGGATACTAATGGATGTCCTGCCAACATCTCACACACTCCATATCCAAATCTGAATTCGTCAGCTTTTCCAATTTTTCTACTCCACCAGAAGGATTCCCCATTGCCTGCAGGCCCTTCCATATACTGGGTTTAATTTTCCTTGAAAGCCTTTTTGCGATAAGACTCCCCTTCAACGTTCTATGCAAATTGGACTATTTGCTGTTGTTCCCCAATCTCATTTTAGCCTCTCACCCCTAGCGTTTATTCATGCTGTTCTCCATGCACAGAACAGTCTACCCTCCGTATCTCTGGCTTTTGAAACTCTTTCTATTCAAAGCCCATCTCAAGTAAGCCTTCCCTGATCCCTAAGACGAATTATTTTTTTATCCTCAAATATCTTATGCCAATCTACCTTACTCTTCAATGTACTTAGTAATATTCATTTCTATTATAATTATTTGTACAGATGTCATATGCACCTAATTAGAAATTTTCAAGTACAGCAACTGTGTTGCAGAATACAATTCCCTGCACATAGCAGGCAGTACTTGTTCTTGACTTTAAAGCCTTTAAAGAAACTAGCAAGCACAAACTTACTCTGTGAACAGACAGACAAAATGACCATCTTGCAGTCCTTTCTCTGGAGAAGAAAGTCCATCAGCCTTCCTTTATCTAGCAAGAGATTTACTACAGGCTGAAGTTTTACCTGAAGAGTCCAGAGGTAACCTAGATTTAAGAAGCAACAGGTTTAACAATTTGATCTGAACCAGAGCTAACACAACAAACATATAACCAGATCTCACTGAATTCTTGTGGCAAATCCTCAAAATAACAATGGTAACCATTTTTTTTCATTGAAAAGAACAATCTCAGTTATTCAGAACAATACCTACTGACCTTAGGGTTTAAATTTTAGCACAGCATTCCTGGCCTACTTCTGAATGTTCTGATAACTCCTAAGAGTAGGTCAACCAAAACTCAATCTCAGTGACTAGAGAAAGGTTAAAGAGAACTGAACACTCCTACACTCTGTATACTAGTGATGCCTTTTTTCCAACCCAGGGGGCTGGGCAGCACTCAATCAATCATAGCCTCGATTTCCCATCACATATTGAACACTTTCAGGGAAGAGCCTGGAGAGTTGAAAAAGGTCCTTAACAAATACCACTAACCCCAAATAATATATTTTGTTATCTCTTCTACTACTATTACTCTAACAAGGTTGCTCTGTAAAAACCTCATTAAGATTTTCCAATGAAGTAAAACAGATGGATCTAGACATTTCTGAAAATTTTATCTGGACATAATTCATCAGACATTGTCTTACTGCCTTCTGAAATCCACACATATTATGATGGAAGACTGTGCCTTCTGACGTACCTTGACTTGCACTGATGATGATGTCAGGCTGAAAGACGATCCAGGATGATGAATCTGAATGTCAAGGGAAGTTCCAAAAAGTGAAGGAATACATGCTTATTTTTAGCCTCCTCCCTCTCCAGCAGTGGTGGGCCAGATCCCCCTGGACCCACCACCACCATGTGGAGGTTCACAGTGCTTGAACGAGCAGGGAGTTAACCAATTATTCCTTGAGTAAGATGGCCACTAGGCCTCACTGTCTGTTCTGCAAGTGCATCCTCAAGTCTTCTGGGCTGTCTTATTATCTGCCTTGTTACTATACACACTCCAAACCCCTGGGCATGCTATCTGACCCACTGATATACCCTAAGAAGACCTGGGTCTTTCTACCTGCCATCCACTGGACCCTTGGGCCCTCTGGATCTTTTTAGCTGCCTTGAAGCAGAACCCTCCCATATATTGTCTCTCCCATTTAGAATGAGAGCTCCTCGAAGGCAGTGACTGTTTAGATTTTTTATCTATGTCCTTAGGGCTTAGCACATTTCATACATGGTAAGCACTTAAAAAATGCTTTTTAAGTCTTTTAACAGCTATCACACACCTACCTCTTGTGTATGTTTAAAAACAGGCCCCCTCCCAAATGCCTGAGACAGCTAAGAGGCTTTCTTAATGATATGTATAATGATAGCTTTCAGAAAATGGCACTTTTTAAAATTTTGTTTTACAAAGATTCATACATTTTGGGAGGTTACATGTTGGCTAATTTAAGCAAGAAGAGATGAAAAGACAGAGATACTTCACTTCCATAGTCACTCTGCCAGCTGCTCTTTTCAAAGGATACAGAGTTTACAGGGAACAGGAGACTGGCTGGTCACAGAAGCAGGACCTGTATTTTTGAAAGAAAAAAATATAGAAAAGCTGAAAACATGCTTCCCAAAAACACAATTCCACCTACTTAAGATTAAAGACACATGAGCAGAATAGAGCACAATGAGCATGGATTAGTGTCTATCCATCCCTACCGTTAGAAAAAAATTCAGACCTGCTGTGGTGTGTTTACTAAACATGAAGATTAAGAAATCAGCATTTACATGTCCTACAAAACATTATGGAGAAGACAGAAAATGAACCAGATAAACCAAGTTTAGATACTCTAGATGATCTGGACATCAAAAGTGAGAGTTCTGTAGACTGAATTATCTAAATAACTGCCCCATTCTTCACTTTAGTAAGCTATCTCCCTACTAAGTACCCATGACTGTGAGTTAAAAAGGACTACTCCAAAAAGCTAAACTGGCTTCATTCATTATGCCCTTTTTTCCTACAGCTAAGTTATGGGCCAAAGAACCCAAAGCACCAGCTTTACTGCTCATATGGCATTGACATAAACCTCTGTGAAGTGGGAAAGACAATTCCTGAAAGCAGAACTCTTCTCCCCCTTCCTTTAATGGTCCAACTGTGCAGAGAGTAAAGCTCTTTGATGTTACCCAAAGATGCAATCAACTAGCAGAGTAAATGGTGTTCTAGAAAATCGAGAAGCTGTGGGGAGCAATCAGCTACACTGAAGACAGCAGACAGCTTGGTCTCACAAAGGTCTGACACTCCACACATGGAAACTCATAAGATCTCAGACATAGTAAAAGGGACCTTCGAGATCCACCAAGTCTAATCCCCTTCCCCATGCAGGAATCCCTTCTGCAGTATCGCTGCAGACTCGGTGTGGATACCTCCATCAATGAGGACTCTGTCCGATGGGGCATTCTGTTCAACTTGTGGATAGCTCCAGCTACTAGGAAGTTATTTCTTATCCTGAGATTTAATCTGCTTGCAAAAGGGAGATGTACAACTCCAAAGGGTAGTATTTACAGAAAGAAAAGAATAATAAGCTTAATTCTTCCACACATCAGTCCTTTGAATATTTGAAGAAAGTTGGCCTGCTTCTAATTCAAAAGGACCATGATGAAAAATGCTGTCCACCTCCAGAGAGAACTGATGAATTCTGTGCGCAGACTGAAACACACTTTTTTAAAACTTTCCTTATTGCGGGGGGGAAGGGGTGTTTGTGTGTGTGTGTGTGTGTGTGTTTTCTTTTGCAATATGGTTAATATGGTAACGTTTTGCATGATTTCACATGTATGACTGATATATCGCTAGCCTTCTTAGTGGATGGGGGAGGGGTCAGAGGGAGAGAGAGAATTTGGAACTCAAATTTTTAAAAAATGAACTGTTAAAAAAGTTTTTACATGTGATTGAAATATTTAATGAGGGGTGGCTAGGTGGCGCAGTGGATAGAGTACCGGCCTTGAAGTCAGGAGGACCTGAGTTCAAATCCAGCCTCAGACCAAACACTCACTAGCCGTGTGACCCTGGGCAAGTCACTTAACCACAACTGCCTAAAAACAAACAAACAAAAAAAACAAAACAAAAATATTTAATGAAATAAAAATATATTTAAAAAAAAGAAAGTTTCTTCAGTTTTCTCTTCTCCAGATAAAAACCCCAACACTGTCCCCCACATTGCTCTTCATGCAAAATGGTTCAGCTCCCCTCACCCTCCAGGCTTTGACAATGTTTCTCTTAAAACACAGCACCAAGAAATGAAAAAAGTATTAGAGACTGGGGATAAACAGTAAAAGAACAATAGGACTGACACTTGGTTCACTCTAGACACTATACTTTGGTAAATACAGAATAACTGTTTTTTGTTGGGTTTTTTTTGGCTAGACAATGGGGTTAAGTGACTTGCCCAGGGTCACAAAGACAGTAAGTATTATGTGTCTGAGGCTGGTTTTGAACTCAGGTCCTCCTGAATCCAGGGCTGGTGCTCTATCCACTGCACCACCTAGCTGCCCCAAGAACTACTGTTTTTAAAGAAGGAAAAAAACCTTCTCATACCAATCCAATAAGAAGGGTGACAATGTATACATATCTATTCATTACTACCTTGAATAAGCACCCCAAAGGGTCAGGGTAAACACATAACATCTGCTATAATACAACTATACACAACCTTTAGCAAAATACAAAATGCTTCTCTATAGAATTTTAATAATTCTACCTGCCATAGGAATCTGATAGGGCTGTATTGATCGAGCTGGAAGTACAGGGTGATGGAGGGTAATTGTGCCATCAAATTCTCCTCTTAACTTGATGTCAAATATTACAGATGTCTAAAGAGGGAAGGGGAAAAAAAGAAGATTGTTGACACCAAAACAGATATAGCTGAAAGCTGCCTGTATTATTCTACAGCACCTAGACACATTTCAATGAATACTATTACAATTAAGCTTAAAGACCATTGTTAAGAGTACAAGCACCCTACCCTCAAATTAAGCAGGCTCTTTCTGATTTAAGAATTAGCTACAATATGTGAATATAGCTGTCTTTTTAGAATCCAAAGTCCTCACTTTAATTATTCATTGCTCTCAAAAATAATGTATCTTGCATTTATATACATCTTCCCCTGAAGACCTCAATGCATTCTCATGTGTATCATTCACAGCATCCTTGGTAAGAAAGAAGTGTTGGTATTATCGTGCACACCTTAAAAATAAGAAAAACGGAGAATAAAGAATAAATGGTTTGCTTAAACCCAAATTAGTCAATGACCAAATGGGACTTAAGAGTTCATGATTAACATACTAAGCCTGCGTAGTACTGCTTCCTAATCATTATTACCTATAGATGAGTATTCAATCTGAAGAGGATGCTTCATAATGACACAGTTTAATATTTCAGAAATATAGTACAACCACGAGATTACATGGCCTTCATCATTTTAATACTAGCTAACATTTACAGGGCCATCTCCAGTCATCCTGATCTGTGTCTGGCCACTGGACCCAGATGGCTCCGGAGGAGAAAGTGAGGCTGGTGACCTTGCACAGCTCTCCCTCACTTAAATCCAATTCACTTATAAGTCATGGCATCACCTTCCTGATATCATGGTCCTCTTCGAGAATGAAGGATAAACAACAACAGTAGCTAGCATTTATATGGCACTTTAAAGTTTGCAAAGCACTTTATAAACATTATCTCATTTGATCCCCACAATCTCCCCAGGGAGGTAGGTGCTATGATTATGTAAAATGAGGATTTTACAGATAAGGAAAATGAGGCAGATAGCAGTTAGGTGCTTTGCCCAGTGTCATACAGCTGGCAAGTATATGAGGCAGAATTTGAATTCAAGTCTTCCTGATTTCAAGTCCAGCACCCCATCCACTATGTCACTTGGCCACTCACATGACCATCTATGCTAAATAACAACCCAAACTGAATAGTTGTATTACAATATCTTATGTATTAAAACTCATGCATATCATTTTATGAAATCGTTATTATTTCCTTCTGCTCCACAGAGGGGGAAATCAAACCACTCATCCCAAATTTCCATCTGTAAGGTCACCATTTTTAACATAAGGATGGCAAAAGCACTTTTTTGTTTTGGTTTTTCTCTTTTTTGTTTTTTTGTTTGTTTGTTTTTTGGTTTTGGGGGTTTTTTTTGGCTAGGCAATGGGGTTAAGCTTCCCCAGGGTCACACAGCTAGTAAGTGTCAAGTGTCTGAGGCTGGATTTGAACTTTTTTTTTTAATGAGGACTATTTACCCACTACAGATGTTCAAAGCTTTTTAAGCACAAAAAATCCACTACTAGTTCTTAGGAGTCCAAGTTAAATTCAAGTCTCCATGGCATCCACATCATACCTCTGTATCCTGATGATGAACCACCACCAGGTTATCCACCACATTCAATGCAAACTTCCCTGTTCTATTCAGCTTCAAAATATGGGTCTTTTTACAGACACCTTCTCTATGGAACAACAAAAGATAAAAAAATTAGATCAACAGACTCTTTTTTTCTCCTCACAGTTTAAAAACCAAAGTAGAGAGAGGGGCCAGCCTCACCGTGGCAGGTGATAAAGCACGACCTCTGCACCAGCACTGTTTGAGGTCCGGGAGTGATGCCTCAGGAAGAGTACATGGAGCTGCCCGTAGCTGGTCAGGGAAGAATGAGACGATTGTCAGTCATATCTCACACTTCAGGAATCCACCATTTCACAAACTTTTCTTTAGATTATTGAGTGTTTGGTACAGTAAGAATTTAGAGAAAAAACAGAAATCAACTAAGTGATAGGTGGTTTTTCCAAATGGAAGTAGGGACTTTTTTTAAAATAGAGAATAGTTTTCTTCCATGACAGATTACAGAACTTAGTTTACTTTCTTATTTATGAAAATTAAGCATGACATTTAGACTCAAGAGAATAAAGCATACACTTATTGTTATGATGAAAAGAATAACTGTCCTATCTCCTTGGACATTTTTTAAAAAAAATTCTGAGACTAGCAAATGGTTTTGAAGAGACAGCATTTTCTGTATTTATAAAGAACAAGTGATATTTACAGGGGAATGAGGGAATCACAAGATGATTATGATGATCAAGATGATGATTATTGCTAATCATCATAAAATGTCAAAGACCTATGATTTCCTCAATGTGGGAGCATCTGTGCCCCTCTTCAACTCAAAAGATGATCTTCAAGAACTTCTGTGGCCAAAAAAATGGATCACCTTGTGGCTAACCTGGTGAGGAGACTCTCCACATTTAGAGATTAATCCTTGGCCAAGAGACATCTAAGTCTGTCCCTGGGTCCAAATTCACTTTCTTCCAGTTTGACAGGCCTTGTCATGGCCTTCAAGAACACAGGATCACTTCCATGACACAATAAGGTAACAGAATCAGAATTTGGTGGACCTCACATCTTCTTTAAGCCCATTACTTATTTACTCCAAGCCAGGTTAACTCTCAAGTCCTGGTCTCCTTCTGCTATGCCACAGTGACACAGCCTAGGTGACATTGTACATAGCACAGTGAAGTCTGGAAAGTACTTTACAGACATCTTTTCAACTGATCCTCACAACAACCCTGTGAGGTAGGTAGTGACAGAATAATATCCCCATTTTAGAGATGAGGAAACTGAGACTCCAAGAGGTTAAGTGACAGTCATGGTCACACAGCTGGCAAGTTATCTTCCTGAACATGCTACTCTCAGAAACTATGTGGCAGGGCTAGAATCTGAAAATCACTTGAGTGCTTTGCACCGGGGTATACTTCTTCTATAATTTAAATCACCAGAAACAATTATAAAAAGGAATTCTCATCAGACAGACATACATTGTAGCCATTGCAATATCTCTTTCAGAAAGGCTGAGTTTAGTTGACTTAGGTGCTGCTGGCAATTCAATTTCAAACTTGGATAGCTTCGACATAGTTCCAGCCTATTTTAGAAAAACACAAATAATTTTTAGAAAAGGTTTTTTTAACCTCCTATATCTTAACACTCTTACTTTAAGATTCTCAAGGACAGACAACTAATTGTGTCTTTCACTTACTTTGCAACTCCCTATGGCATCTGCTACTGTGTGTGTTAACAGCAGAATGTAAATAATTATTAATTAAAGCTTTCCTGGAAACCACAGCTGGAGTAATGCCCCCAAGAGGCACAGAGTCATACTGCTATTGGACTACAAACACCCTTTGAAACAAAGTGCTTCAGTATTATGACATGATTTGGAGCTGGGGAGAAATCGTAACTTTTTTTTTTAAACTAAAACACAATGCCATGCTTACTCGGAAATAAAAAGGCTGGAGAACATTTCCAAGGACAGTGGTAGACAGCAAAATGACTGAACTCTCAGGACAAGACATGTACCAATTTACATTGATATTCTGACTTTTCAGTAGTTTCAAGCTTCGTTTCTCTGGTAAGACCTGAAACAAAATTCAAGGATTACAGTTTTCTTTAAAGAACCATTAAGTATTAGAAGACTGATTTAACAGACTGACAAAGAATAGGAAGTTAGACATACAGCTTATATAATAAAAGCTTATCCACAGCACTTTATAGTTATTAAATGCTTACATACATATATTTTCATATACTTTATCTTACTGGATCCTCACAACACATAGCGTAACTATGATTACCCTCAACACAGACATGGAGGGAAGCTTTGATTTAAGAGGTTAAGTGACTTGCTCATGGTCATACAGCTTAGAAAGGGTCAAACCAGGATTGAAACCCTAGAGCTTCTGAGTTCTAATCTATCTCTCCTAAAACTATGTCATAATACAAACATAGGTTAAAAAAAAATCTTCTTTTCCTCCCTAAAGCAGCTAGTGGTAGAGTGGAGTCAGGAAAACCTGAGTTTTAATTCGGCCTCAGACATTTACCAGCTGTTTGCTTCAGTTTCCTCAACTGTAAAATGGGGATGATATAGCCCTCCCTCTCAGGGTTACTGTGAGAATCAAATGAGATAATATTTGTGAAAAGCATTTGGCACGGTGCCTGGCACATAGCAGGTGCTATGTAAATGCTTATTCCCTCCTCTCCAACTGATATAGTCAGTACTAGCCAAGATAAGACTCTGAAAATGATTAGAAAGAACTGCAAAAAAATCAAAAGTAAACACTGGCAAAATTATAAAGATCAATCATGTCTCCAAAGAAGACATACGAGAAGGTCTGCAAGGTCCACGAGTGCTGTACACTGCACACACTTTCAGATTTGTTTCAATGTACTGATTAGCTATGCTGATATTTGTTAGATGGGATGGCTTTCTAGGAAAAGGAAGGGGAAGGATACTGAGGGGAATTATGGTGATGTAAAAAACCAAAAGATATCAACAAAAATTCATTTTTAAAATGATTAAAATGCACAGCATAGGAAGGTTTAAGACATTCAATTTGAATTGAAAATTAAGCAACAGACTTGTGGCTAACATTGTAACTTTCGAATTTTAACATATCCATTATTCCATCTACAAAGCTGCCAAACTTATCCTTTCACTGACAGTCATTATTACCTGATAAAATTCAATTCCTTGATCTGTTATGAAGACTATTTCAGTAGAACTGGTCCAGCAGAATCCTAGTATGTTGGCATTCTTCGTCTTAATAAAATGACATATTTAAAATTTAAATAATTAAAAATACATTTTTTAAAATTTAAATACATTTTAAAGCTTCCCACAAAATACAACTATTAAGCCTAGAAATTAACTTACAACTTTTATCAAAGGCTCAAAACACTATATAGTTTATTGCTGGCCCTTTAGGGAAGCAGAACTATAATGACATGAAAATATTTTAAATGTAATTATCACCATGCTACACTATTTGTAATAAAATCTTTTCTTTCATTCAAAACACCTCATCCAAAATTAGTCTTGGATTCTTCAATGATAACTGTGGACAGATCTAAGCTTCACTTCAGATGATGACTGAGCAGAATGTAATAACCCTGACTTCTACTAGAGATAATCACCATTGATAACTCCACTAAGCTTCAAAGCAATGGGGTCAAACTCAGACAGAAAAGGGGACCACTAAACCACACATGAGGATCCCTACAGGCCACATACAATCTTAGTTGTAAAATGTAAAATTAACTATGTTTTATATTTATTTATTTGTTTGTTTTGTTAAATATTTCCCAATTATGTTGTATCTGGTTCAGGCCACACTCAGAAGTGTGGAGGACCTCGTATTTGACACCTCAGCTTTACACATGCACTGCTAAAGCACAAGAATGGCTCTTCTTACCATATCTGTGACCCTAATGGAACTCACTATTTCAACAAACACTTATTAAATACTTCTTATGTACGTTCTGAGTTCACAGAAATGAAGTTTGGATTCAGTCAAAGAGCAGCACTTGAGGACCTAGAGGGACACATGTGGCCTGGAGGCCACAGGTTCCCTACCCCTGCATACTATTCTCTCATCCTATAAAACCCTCCCCTCAATCTTTGTATTAAAAAAAACAACCATTAACTTGCAACTTATGAACTTGCAGAACCAAACCTCAAACCTCCAAAACCCAGAGTAGAAGCCCTTTTCCCTTGAAGACTTCCTTGATGCCCCTCAAGCAAGAAGTCATCTCTCTCCCTCCTCCAAATTCTCCAAGTACTTTGTATCTCTCTTACACACTTCCCATAGTCTATTCTGTATTAGCTGTTTGTACACACACACAGATTCTTTCCTATAAGCTGTGTATCTTGTATCCACTGGAAGCAGTAGATAAAGTGCTAGACTGAGACAATAACTGTAAGGTGCCTGGCACACAGTAAGTGCTATATAAATGTTAGCTACTACTGCTGTTATTGTTCTTATGCTATTATTTAAGCAGAGGTCCTATTTATTCATCCAATTATTCAACAAAGCATTTTTGAAGTGCATGTTACGTGCAGGCACCATCCTAACCAGCCGGGCTCCGCTCAAGGGCTACCTCGTTCAATTGGCCACATTTTCTGATTCCCCAAGTAGGTCATATTTCTCCCACTACTTTGCAACTATCTGTCTATGTCCTGCATCACTGAAGGAATACCCAAATTACTGAGATCCAAGATCCAGTAGACTATTGAGGGCATCCTGTGTTTACTTATTGGTGAAAATGCCACATCTTTCTAGTATAATGTAAACTCCAGAAGGGCAAAGATTCTCTTTGCTTTCGCATTTGTATTCCCAGTGCTTAGCACCATATCTAGCAGAGAGCAGATGGTAATAAATGCTTTTTGACTGACTATACAACTAAAATTTTGACATGTAAGATTTTACATTTTCTGATTAAATTCTATCTTGTTAGATTGGGCCTTCTCTTCTAGTTTTTCCAGATCTTTACAAATAGAGGTTCTTAGCTAAGGATCTTTATTCTTTAAAAATATTTTGATAGCTATATTTCAAAACAATTTTGGATTCTTTTGTAATAATATGTATTATTTTATACATTTAAAAAGCATTATTCTGAAAAGGGGTCCACAGGCCTCCCCAGAAAGTCACAGAAGTCCACAACACACAAAAAAGTTAAGAAATCCTATTCTATACTCTTATTCTATCACACTATATATGTATATATGTATATTAATTATCCCTTCTAATTGTGTTATCAACCATAAACTGGATAAGCAGTCTAATTCCTCATCCAAGCGGATTAAAAAAATGCAAAAGAAAAAGCTGAGTAGGCAAGGACTGAAGACAAAGCCCTGTGGCACAATACTAGAAATAACAACCCATATTCCTTGGGGACATACTCAACCACTTATGAATTTTTCCTAAATGTACAACCATCTAAAACACACTTCTCCATCCTGTTAACAGGATCTCAAGAATGATTCTGTCAAATGTTTTGTTAAAGTAAAAATTCACTCTTTCAATGACATTTTCTTAATCTACTAGTCTAGAAACTCATTTTTTTAAAAAAAAGGAAATTAAGTTAGTAGTCAGAATCAGACTAGGGTGAAGAAAGGTACACAGGAACAATATGGTTAAATGGTTCTATTCTTAAAAAAAAAAGCTCTGGGTTCTTTATAGAGGATCTTGGCTGAGGGGATTCAGTCACTGAGTAAATCCTCCCTCCTTGTAGGGGAGCCTACTCTGTCTTTGATTTAATGAAGGAAGAATTCCTATCCTGCTCTGAGTTTTGCTGGAGGTAACCCCCTCCTCTAAAAAGTGCATTCCAGGCACATGCCACACTACCACTGCTGGCTAAGGATCCTATAAGTCTTCTATCAATAAAACCAGCCACCAGCTAGTGAAGCTGAATAAGAGAACAAAAACGAGAAGAAGATGAAAACAAAGTAAAAGTCAAATTTTGGAGGCTTTAACTGGAATGCAGGAGTACAGACACAGGTGAAAAATGACTTCTAAAAATCTCTAGCTGATTACGTTATCAAGAACATTTTACCACAGATCACTCAAAAAGGCAGACTCAAGGAACTGTCTTGCCCAAGGCTAACAAACTGAAAACACATGCATGTACCTTGCATTCTTGTGTGTATTCCAGTTGAGGACAATCAGGGATAAAGTTCAAAAAATCCTGAAAGAGAAAAAATGCACAGTTAATTCTCTAAAGCAAGGTCTTGGGAATATCAGCAGTAAGACCGAGGTCAGAAGTATTCTTCCTGTCTTACTGCAGAAAAAGACAATGTGACAACACTGATAACAAATCCAGATACTTAAAAATTTTTACAATACTCACTCAGCAACTGAAAGAGTGTGACATTCAAGAAAATGGAAACAAAACAAAAATCTGAGTGATAAACAGTCTCCATTCTATGAGTATGTAAAGCTCAATAATGACAGGGATCATATCTTATTTAAGTCTAGATTTCTCTCATTACAAGGCTTTTCAACGAGTGAGTTCATTTCAGAGAATCAGTGACAGGCAGCTCTCTGATGCCTGACAGGGCTAGTGATCTTCTCACTGTACAGTGTAGTTTTGGCATTTGAATGTTTGCTGACATGAATTATGTTTTAAGATTACTACAGGATTTTGAAAAAAAGTATAGATCCATTCTTCCCAGGTAAAATTTAAGAGAAAATAAAATAACTTTTAAATTACATTTATTCTTTAATATTCTAAATCATTTATATTAATGGAAAATGTTCAACAAATTACTAACCTCAGGTATTTTAGAGGTGGAAGGAACTTACTTGGTATTTTCACTTTGAAAAAACTACCACACACATTTATTAATTAATATATGGACCCTATTCAATTCAGATAACACATATATGAAAAAGATAATACGGAAAATTACATTCCCAAATATCCAATTCAACAAAATAGTGTTCATACGATCTTCCCATTGCTACCTGGAATAACCTAGTTTTGAAAACTAGTTGATTTTTACTAGAAGAGGTAGTATGCTGCCATCGGCAACAAAGTTAATGAATTAATATTTATACATCAATGGAAAGTTCTTCCTATTATTCCACATTATGAATTTTTACCCCACATTAGGTACCCTTAACTTGGATCTCCTGTCCTGGTTAAAATCAGCTTCTAGTCAGAGAGAGAATGCTACAGTAACTCACTCATGTTATCCAATCAAAAAAACTCACATGTGACATTTGTGCTGGTCATTAGCTACCAACATAACATGCAGGAAGTCTAGATTACTTAAAAAGAATGCCTAGAAGTCATAAAATGACAAATTATTTAAGCCATAGGCTTCTGTTTAAACAAATGCCTCTCTAATCTCTAGAAGACTCATAGGATCCAAAATCATGCAACATAAACACATATATTTCACCAAAAAGGTAATTTGATTTTTACAATTCATCCTCTTCCAAAATTTCACCAATGTACTTTACTTCATACAGAACTCAAGAAGGATTCTTACCACAGTCTTTGAGGTTCTTTGAACAGCCAATATTTTATTTCCCAAGGAGAACTTGATACATTTCACTTCCCCTTTGTCTTCCATCCTTTGAAAGGAAAGGATACAGGAAGACTTCAGTGGAAGGGGCATGAGAGAGATTCAGGAAAAATAGTGCTTTAATTTAAAATTAAAATTATATTTAGGATAACCATCAGATTCACAGTAGAATCATTTTTCAAACAATCTAACTGGCAATAATGTGAAAACAGATTCTATTAGAGAATACAAATAACTAAAGTGATAGAAAAGTAGACCAATGCAACAGATCAGACAAACAATACCTAAAAGTAAAAGGTCTCTTTAGCCCCATATTCAATAAACCCAAAAATACAACTCTAAGGAGCTTGTATACTTGTATATAAACTTGTATACTACAAGAATTGATGAGAAAACTGAAAAGCAGATATAAAGGTTGAACCAGCTTTCACAACACATCCACAGTAAGCTCCAGATGGATAAGCAGCCTAAACGTAAGATCACATCATTACAAAAATTAAAGGAGAAATTAAGGTAGTACTTTTCAGAACTATGGTTAGGTGGAGAATTCATAAGCAGAGAATAGAAAAAAATCACTAAAAAACCCATATTTTTGATTACATAAAATCAGAACTTGTGTGTTAACAAAATCAGTGTAGCTAAGATGGAAATGAAGCTGCTGAGTGGGGGCAAATCTTTACAACAAATATTTCCAATAAAAATTTACTCTGTCACGTAAATAAAGAGAACTGTCACAAACCTATTAAATTAAGAGCAATTCCCTAATAGGTAAGTGGTCAAAGGATACAAATACAGAATTTTCAAAAGAAACGAAAATTATCAATAACCATGAGAAGAAATGCTTCAAATCACTAAAAAGCAAATGTAAATTAAGATGACTCTGAGGTTTTACTGCTTGTCCCTCAAACTGACCAAGGAGATAAAAGATGGAAATATTCAATGTCAGAGAGATTATGGGAAGGCTGGCACACTAACACACTACTGGTGGACCTATGAATTGGTCTGTTTTGGAGAACAATTTGGAATTATGCAAGAGAAGACACCAAACTGTTCATTCCTTGTGGCCCGGGGATCTCCTTACTCATAAGATACACCAAGGAAACCAAAGACTGAAAAAAGGGTACCACATACACTAAAATATTTGTAGCAGCACTTTCTGTGATTGCAAAAAACTGGAAACAAGATAGGTGCCCATCAGTTAGGGAATGGCTGAACAAATATGATCTTGGTTCCAGAGGGTAGATAATGGAACACACTCCATGCCCCTGAGAAACTGGGGATTAAGGGTAGGAAATGTTGCATATACTGTCAAACATGGCTGCTATATCAGTTGCTTTTGCTAGACTGATTTTTGTTGTTACAAGAGAAGCTTCTATTGAGGTGGAGGGGTATTATCAGGAAGACTAAGGTATGAAAAACAAAAGGCATCAATATAACTCAAAAACTAACTATACTAAATTACATTTGAGATTGTATTTTCTTGTTAGCCAAACATCTTCATGCAATTGTTAGCAGAACCTGAGCAATAGAAAGTTAATTTTTCTGCCCAATTCAAAAGCTATTTCCTATTAACAGATAAACAATGCAAGATTTTTTAAGGCATCTTAAATCTGTTGAAAACGCAAGTCAAGCCTGTGATCAAGATCGTTTTTTAATAATTCCATTGAAACATAAGCCCTTGCAAGTAGGGATTGTTTCATTCTTTTTATCTGTATCCTTAGCAGTCAGCATAGTGCTTAATAAGCGCTTCTGAATAGTTGCCTAAATTTCTAACTAAAGTAGTTTCTCCTTTCAAAGAGATACAGGCCATATTCAAGGATGTCCTATATCCTGACCAATATTGTAGAAGACAATATGTCAAACAGATGAGTAAGACAAGATTCCTGCCTTCAAGTTCTTAACCCAGCCCTAGATCCAAGTCTCCCATCTCCATCCCAAGGAGGTAGATTGAAGGTCTAAAGTGGGAGGAATAAGAATAGATTTTTTTTCCTACGATAATCACAGTCATATTCTCTTTATGTTGTAGGGAGGAAATACTTTTTTCTTAATATGCTGTCACATGAGAAACAGTGGCATAGAAACCTCCTTCACAGTTTCCTAATCTGTAAAACTGGAAAAACAATTGTCATACCTACCTGACAGGGCTGCTGTGAGAATCAGAGGAGATAATGTATGTAAAGCCCTTTGTGAAATTTAAATTGCTATATAAATGTCAGCCAATATTCTTCACAGACCAAATGCTGTGGAAGACCTAAGCCAGATAAGGAAGCAGAGATAAGAGTTCTTTGGAGGTCAACAAATCCACCAATAGGTGTCCCATGGACACTAACTTCCAGCATTATCACCTGAATGGCAGGATATTAGTCCCAAATTCCCCATCCTACTCCCTCATCCCAATGACTGCGGTAAAACTAGTTAACAGGTCGTCCCAGTAGAGAAGGGGAAAAGAAGACAGAGAGGGACAGAAATTCTGAACTATATTACTGAATGGGGGGGCAGGGGGAATCACCACATTTTGCTTAAGTTTTGAAAAAGCCCATAATGCAATTGGCACTGTTACCTAAATGAGATGGGATTCCTATCCTCTGGTCCTTTAACGACCACTCCAGTAGCCCCACCAGATCGGACGGCAAAAACCTGAAAAAGTTTGAAGTTCATTTTAGTATCTGAGCTTCCAAAGGCTATTCCATAGTCAAAAGTGCTATTTCAGTTTTATTTCATACTTAGTAGTTTTAGGTATATGTTTTTATCCAGTTTGAGGCTTCTGACATAGAGCTAACCTAAAATGCTTCTAAAGCAAACAAAGTGCACGTACTGATATGTGAATGATTTCAAATGTGTTTTGGGAAACGAGTACATCAGCTCAAAGTAGCACAACCATAATGTTAACACCCCATATGACACAAGATGATGAGAAATGAAGGATGATACACCACTGGTTTCTCCTGCAGACTTGAACACAGCATAGCACTTTCCTAGATTTTGTTTCCCTTTGTAAAACAGATAATAGAACAAGTTTGAATTTTAAAATCCTTAATTGAAAGTTTAACCAAAAGCCTTTACTCTTTTGTACTCCAGAAACCCATGGTTTCATGGGTGTGGGTCCTCCCTCCAAGGACACAGGTCAAAACCTTTTGATGATACAATTGTTGGTCTTCAAAAGTTGTTGTGGTTGAAAAAATTCATTGCTCCAGGGTCAACTTGGTGATAAGCCCTTAGGAATTTAGCTTGGTTGGTCCTTGGCCATCAAAAAGACAAGGGTCACATCTATACCATTTAGAGACACCAAAGTAGTACTTAAACTAATAAAAATCATCATTACTAACAAAACATAACTAAAAATGACTTGAATCCCCTCTCTAACTTCCATGAAAGCAGCAGCTTCACAAAAATTAAAAGTGAGCTAAATCTGTGGTACTAGCTCAGTTTGGACAGTGATGAAGTTAGATCCCTTAGCACAGGAAATCATTTCCCCCAACTTGTTTACTAGAAGAAACAAACTGATATTAAGACTCTGAAAAGTATGGAGCCATGCAGGGTCAGCATATAGGAAACTAAGAATGTTTAACCCCAGGCTTCTTCCCATACTGCCTCTGCCAAGCCTCCTCCTGGCAGACATGAGAGATGGTCAGATTTTTTTTTTTATGATGGGAGTAAAGGGAATTGAAGATTTCAAAAAGAACAAGAGGGTAAGAAATGATACTCACAATCCAGTTTCTTGATTTGTAATATGAGGAATTGGTTATTACTGTATGATCTTTAAGATCTCTTTCAGCACATTCTATTAGGTTTCATCCAAACCTGGGCAGCCTTGTCAAGAAAAGAGCAAGTGGAACACAAATGCCCCAATTCCTCCCACAGAATTTGTCTTAAGATCCTAGCACTCAACTACCACGAGTAACCCAATACAGTTGCAACCTTCCTCTGTATACCTTCTCCCACACACCTATTCTAATGGGTTCTGATCTTCATCATCTTCTATCTTTTTTGCTGTATTTATTCTCGTTCCTGCCCAGGCCAGATCTCTGACCCTCCCCCTCAAGGCACAACTTCCCAGGCTCCTCAACTTATTCCCAAATTCAGGTCAATAAAGCCACTGATCTCCACATTCACAACCCACAGAACTACCCTGCAAATCTGAGAGTATTATACATAGCAGAAACAACCCTAGACTTGTCAAAAGACCTGGATTTCACTGCAAGGGTGAAAATGAAGGGAACCTTGAGAGGAAGTTAACTACTCCATCTTAAGAGTTTGTAAGAGAGATGAAATTAGGAATAGTCTTATTTGCACTCTAGATTTCAGGAAAACGGATTTCAAGGGGTTTAAAAAAATCGTTAGGATCCCACTTACTGAAATTCTATAGAGGATGTCAGCTTATGGGGTTGGGAAGCTCTCAAGAATAAAATTCCAAATACACAAAATCAAATCCAGTGAATGTGTTTAAATATCTATGTATATCCTGTTTTGAAAGAATGTAAGCTTCTGGAATTAAGCCTAGGACACAAACCATGCACAAAAGTGGTCAGTAGGGAGACGATGCCCAACCTGAGCAGGAAGATAGTAAGAGAGTAGTTAGTCTAGATCAACTATGTCCTGGGGGCAAGAGAACTGGCAGATAGGATTGTTAAGCCACTGCCCATCTTTAATATCGTTTCCTTCTTTGACAGAGCCACTAACTTTGATAGACAAGGAAAATACTATAGAATTTATCTAAATTTGAGCAAATCATTTAATAGTCTTTCATGTTATTCTTGTGGGAAAAAAATGGAGATATGGGAGAGATAGTAGTATATTTAGGTGGATTCAGAATCGGCCAAATGGCCAAACCCAAAGAGTAGTGGTAGTTAAAGAGAAGTAGTTGTAGACAGTCTAAAAGGAAGAATCCAATGAAGTGCCCTAAGAATCTCTGCTACTTCCTTCAATATTTGAAATTTTTATCAGCGACTTGGATAAAGCAGGAGATGGTGTATTATCAGTTTTGCTGACATCACAGAGCTAGAAAGGATGGGGTTTACACAAGGTAAGAAAGTCAAGATTCAAAATAGGCAGTTAGAATACTGAGCCATAAATCTAGTAATATAAAAATCTAAAAGGGATAAATATGAATTCTTATGTTCGGGTTCAAATAATCAACCTTACAAGTATATGACAGGAGAGATAGTTTGAAAAAAAATGAGGGTTGTAGAGTTTTAAGTTCAAAAGGAATCAACGCTTTGATATGGCAAGCAGACAACTAAGGCAGTTTTAAACTTCATTAGAAGAAGCACAGTGCACAGGACTAGGAGAGTGATGATAATCCCATTTGTTCACACCTGGTCAGACAACATCTGGAGTACTGTGTTCAGTTCCGGTTGTCAGATTTTAGGAAGGGGCAGTGATAAGCTAGAGGGTCTGGAGCTTAAATCCGATACGGATCAGATGAAAGAACGGGAGATTTACCCTAGAGAAGGGGCCAGATTGCCTTTATTTTGTAGACGGGTGGGTAACAGAGTAAAAAGAAATGACTGGGGTCACTAAGAACAGAATTCAAAGGCTGCCTTAGACAAATCCCTTAACGTCCCTCAGGCTCAGTTTCCTCATTTGTAAAATGCCTGGTTGGGATACGATTGCCTCTATAAAGCAGCTTTTGCCTTAAATTTAGGATCCCATGAGTTGTCTTCGAGTCTTTGAAGGGATATCCCTTGGAAAACTCGCTCCTCTTGCCCCACCCAGAAAGAGGAACAGGTGGAAAGTTCCAAGGAGAAAAAACTTTCGAGCTATCCCAAAGCAGAACTGTCTGCCTTCGTGAGGTAGTGAGCTCCCCGTCCCTCAAGGTCTTCAAGCAGATTCGGCTGGGAGGACACGCTGATACCGGGACTCCGGTCCAGGTCAGCGATGGGGGTGACTGTCTCCGAGATCTGTTCATTCCGGCTGTGGGCACGAGCCAATCGCCCCGCCTCTCTGAGCCTCAGTTTCCCCACCTGAAGTCCCCCTGCTACCCTCGATGGGTCCGGATGGAGAGCATGCAAGGAAAGCCCTTGATAATTAAATTCCGTCCGTAGCGAGTGACGAGCACAGAGCCGGAGCTCCCCATCCCCCCCCCGCCGGCCTGCGCGCCCCGGCCACCCCCGCCCCCTCCCCGAGGCCGGACGCCCCGCAGGCGCGCCCCGCTCCCCGCTCCGGCCCCTCCCCCACAGCGCGTTCCCCCTCCCCTCCCCCCGCCCCGCCCGGACCTGCTTGTTGGCCTCATCGAAAAAGACGCAGTTCACGGGATTCGCCTTTTCGAAGTGCACCGGCCGCTCGCACAGCTCCAGGTAATAGTCCTCCTCCTCGCTCATCTCGGCGGGCGGCAGCTCCGCTCCGAGGCCCCGGGAGACCCGGGGCCGCTCCTCGAGGGCAGCCGAGCACACTGGGCGGTGCGTGAGGGGCGGCAGCGGCGGCAGCCCCGGCTACGGCTCCAGGAGCAGGAGGCCGCTTCCTGGTGCCTCGGCCCCACCCCTCTGTGCCACGTGACCCGGGCCGCCTCCGCTCTTAAAAGGGCGAGGGCCCCGGCGCTGGAGCGGTGGCGGTGGCGGGGTCCACCAAGCGCCCAGGTGACGTGGCGTGACGGCACGCAACCGGGGCCTCCCTCTGGGAGGCTCTGCCCTAACCTCCTCTAGGCCTCCTCGTGCTGCAGGCGGGAATCCCAGGGTGCGACGGAGGGATCTGCTGTCCTCGGAAAGGAGGGAGTTCCGACAGTAACAGAGTAACAGAACAAACATCACTTAATGATAACGATGCTACTACTAATAACAATGAATACAATTAATAATAACAAAGGTAAAACAAACAACGTGATTGACAACAATACAATTAATACCCTCAATTGCAATCACAGCAACAGTGAACAACAACCCATCACTGTATGGACAACCACAACGATGATAACAATGATCCAACAGTAATCCATCCCTCGATTAACAATAAGAATGAACAGCAACATTAGCCACAGCAAGCATTTAGTAAGTGCCTGCTCTGCGCTGGGCACCGGGCTAAGCGCTGGGGATACAAAGAAAGGTAAAGGACGTTGTGGCTCTCAATGAGCTCCCAGCCTAATGGTGGGAGGAGGCAACCTGCCAACGACTAGACACACGTGATAGGTAGATATAGACACATACACTGAGGTATGTGTGTGTATATGCATGTATGTGCGTATGTGTACGTATGCGTATATAGGTGAGATGCAGAGATAATAGAGCGAAGGCACTGCCGTCAAGGAGGACTTGGGAAAGGCTTCTGGTACAAGTGGGGATTTGAGGGAGGCCAGGAGGCAGAGACAGAGGGAGGTGTTTCAGACAAAGGGGCTGTTCTATTCCGGGAGAGGACCGATGACATCACCAGGGTGAGGTCTTGAGTGACAAGTGAATTGGGTCTAAGTGAGGCAGAGTTGTGCCAAGTCATCAGCCCCGCTCTCTCCTCCAGTCATTGGAGTCCGCTGGCGAGACGTTAAGTCAAGACGCCTGGCACTGGCCCAGCAGGCAAAGGGAGATAGTGAAAATGCCCACAGAAATGTTTTCTTGTGCAAGGAACCGCAAGGAGACCTGTATGGCGTGGAGGGGGGAGGGAGGAAGAGAGTAAGGTAGAAGACCGGAAAGGTGGGGAGAGACTAGTTAGAAAGGGCTTTAAAAGGCGGTGCAGTGGACAGAGCACAGGCCCTAGAGTCAGGAGGACCCGAGTTCAAGTGTGAACATAGACACATAACATTCACTAGCTGTGTGACTGTGGGCAAGTCACTTAACCCTGATCGCCTCACACACACACACACACACACACACACACACACACACACACACACACACACACACACACACGGTATTACAGAAGATTTTATATTTGATCCTGGAGGTGACATTTATTAAATAAAAGGGAGGTGACATGGTCAGACCTGCACTTAATAGCAGCTAACATTTACATGTAGCTGCAAGGTTTTCAAAGGACTTGACATATATGTTATCTCACTTGATCGGCACAACAACCCTGGGAGGTAGTTGCTAATAGCATCATTAGTACACAGATAAGTAAACTGAGACTGAGAGGGTTGTGAAGATCACATAAGATAATATTTGTAAAGCACTCAGCACAGTGCCTGGCACATAGTAGGCACTTAATAAATGTTTATTGAATTAAATAGAAAAGATGATTCACAGATCTATATATCTAGCATCTATTCTCCCCCAAATTCCAGTCCTGTATGACCGTTGTCTATTGGACATTTCAAACTGAATGTCCAACAAATATCTCACAACACATCAAAAACCAAACCCCTTCTCCTATTCCAAACTTTTTTTTTTTTGGTGAGGCAATCAGGATTAAATAACTTGCCCAGGGTCACATGGCTAGTAAGTGTTATGTCTGAGGCTGAAGTCGAACTCAGGTCCTCCCGACTCCAGGGCTGGTCCTCTATCCACTGAACCACCTAGCTGCCCTGAAACTTCCCTCTTTCTGTCAAAGATGCCACTCTCCTAGTCTCCCAAGTTTGTAACCTTGGTATTAGTCTCGACTCCTTACCCCACCTCATCCCACATCCCCAGTCAGTTGCCATATCTTGCTGTATTTCTACTGCTCCAGCATCTGACCCTTCTCTCCTTACACAGCTCCCACCTTAGCTGAGTCCCTCATCATCTCTTGCCTAGGTTATTACAACAGCCTCCAAACTGGTTCCCTTGCTTAGTCTCCCACTGCTCCGATCCATTTTGCACACTAGTATCAATGTTGTTTTCCTTAAATGAAGATCTAACCACGTGATTCCCTTAACTCAATAAACTCTGCGTGTTCAGCCATCCTGAAAAAATGCTAAATGGAAAGATGGCTCCCTGGTGCTCTTTGGAAAAGCAAATAAGGAAATTGACTTGCTAGTGTGTCCAAGGGCAACATGAAATCTCATTCCATAGGACATTTAGTTATCTTGGATTGCAGAAAAGCTCATGATAAGCATTTGCCAAAAGACCAACATGAAAATAATAGCAGCTTTATGCCAACAGTTGTTGCAGAGGACGAAGAGATAGAAGAATTATGCAGTGAGCTCTAAAAGATTCTCCAAAGTCAATTAACATTAATACTCAAAGACTTTAATGAAATTGTAGGCACAGGGGAGGATGACAAAATATGATGGAAAACATCGTTCAGGATTAAGAAACAAAAGAAACCAAATTCTTTTAGACTCCTAGGAATACTTCCTTCAAGAAGAGAACTATAAGGTATCTGGAATGACAAATGACAAATAACTTCACCAAAAAAAATGTGAAACTGGGCATATTTTAGCAGAAACAGAAAGAATTGACTTGTTACTGATGTGGGAATCATTTTGGTAGCATATGTGTTTTGGGGTTTTTTTGGCTAGTCAATGAGGTTAAGTGACTTGCCCAGGGTCGCACAACTAGTGAGTTTTGTGTCTGAGGCTGGACTTGAACTCAGGTCTTCCTGAGTCCAAGGCCGGTGCTCCATCCACTGCACCACCTAGCTGCCCGTTGGGAATCATTTTGGAAGCAGTCATTTTTGTAAATTTTGTAAATTCAGACCACTGAATTATTAGGATAAAAATTAATGTCAATACTAAAAGGAAAGATAAATAAAAATGAGAAGATAATGGCATTTTAAACCTGGCCTAGTTAAATGAGTTATTAATACTGAAAAATGAGAAATAGATTAAGAACAGATGATAACACTATTAGAATTTTCTAAGGAAGTTTTTCCATTATCAATCAGTTGTGTCAACGAGAACAAAGAACCTAGAAACTACTTCAGCCAGCAAGCACTCTTCTCTAAGCAGTTAGTTATGGCAGCCAAGAGCAACACCAATTTAGAATTTAAGTTGATTTATAAAAATTTTTGCTTTTTTTTTTTTGGTGACTTGCCCAGGGTCACACAGCTAGTAAGTGTCAAGCATCTAAGGCCAAATTTCAACTCAGGTCCTCCTGACTCCAAGGCCAGAGCTCTAGCCACTGTGCCACCTACCAACCCTGACTTACAAAATATTTTTAAATTAATTTTTTTCAATGAACAGAAATCAAATTTCTGTCTCTTCCACCCCACCACTGAAAAAGAAAAGAAAAACAAAATGCTTGTAGCCAATATGCATAGTCAAACAAAACCAATTCCTGCACTGACCCTGTCCAAAAACTCTTGAGTCTCATGCAGCATTGCACCCTGGTCCTTCACCTCTCTGTCAGGAGTTGGGTAGAACATGCTTCATCATCAGTCGTCTGGAATAGTGGTTGGTTATAGAGTTGATCTGAGTTCTCCAGACCTTCAAAGTTTCTTTTTAACAGATAAAGAAATTCAGGCCCAAGGAGATGAGACTTGCTCAAGGTTTCACAGAAAATTAGTGACTGAGGGGCAGCTAGGTGGTGCAGTGGATAGAGCTCTGGCCTTGGAATCAGGAGGACCTGTGTTCAAACCTGGCCTCAGACACTTGACACTTACTAGCTGTGTGATCCTGGGCGAGTCACTTAACCCCGATTGCTCATCAAAAAAGGCAAAAATAAATAAATAAATTAGTGGCTGAGACAGGACTCAGACATAGCCCTACTGAATTTCCAGTTCAGGTTTTTTTTTTTTTTGCAAGGCAATTGGGGTTAAGTAACTTGTCCAGGGTCACACAGCTAGTGAGTACCATGTGTCTGATGCTGGATTTGAACTCAGGTCCTCCTTACTCCAGGTCTGGTACTCTATCCACTGCGTCATCTAGCTGCTCCCCAGTTCAGGATTCTTGCCACTAGGCTGGGGCAATTTCCTGAGGTTCAGGTGCATTTGTCTCCTTCTGCCTTGCTACTCAGAAACCCATTCTTAATCCTTAACCATGAACTTCAGCCCCTCCATCCCTCCTAGTTTTCTTAGTTCAACAGTCTGTTCCTGACTCGTTTTCTTCCTTCACTGTCTTGGCCCTACCAAGACCTGGTCAGCTATTCGCTGTCCTCTGTCCACTTAATCCCTTGCTCCTTTATGTTCCTGCCAAACTCCCTACCACCCCACAACCATTAGTTATCCTCATCACCTAACTCAATCACATCCACCCTACTCCTGAGCTGCCCACTGCTACTAGAGGAAGTTACATAAAAATGCTGACCATGTCCACTACTGAGCTATGTGGATAACAAAATTTATATAACACTTTAAGGTTTGCAAAGTGCTTTATAAATATCATCTGTTACTGTTTACTTTCTACTCCCTTGGCTCTCTCTCCTGACTCATCACCTACCTCTCTGACTAATTCTTCTCCATTTCTTTTGCTGATCAGCATCCATGCACCCACGGCTTAAGGATGGGTCTTCTGAGGTTCTGAACTATATCAGCTTCTCTCTCTTTCTATGCTTTTAACTTTGGTGAGTTCATCTGATCCTATGGATTCAATTTAACTCTATGCAAATGACTCACAAATTGAAACATGAACCCCTGATCTTTC